CTCGCGATCAATCTGTAACCTTGCCACTGGCACTCTTATGAGATTCGTATCATCTGACCGAAGGCAGAAACTAGATGCCGTCCCTTTTCTGGTTATGTAATCTGGTGACATTCCGTTTAAAGCCTTGAACATGATCAGAATCACATCAACTTTATAAATTATCCTTTTATCAATCGTCAACCAGTGCAAATCATTCAAAATTGGCGTAACGTAGTCAAACTTCAGTTTACCAGCAACCAGCTTTGCAGCTCTATCCTGAACCGATTGCAAAATAGCAATAGATTTATCAGGTATTTTATATAACAAGATGTTGAAGTAATCTAACCGAGATGTAACAAACGCATGCACCAAAGTTTCCAAGGTTGATCTGTCCAACCAGTGGCTAATTCTATATAAATTCCGGAGACAAGAGATGCAGGAAACTGATATCATCTTTATATGATCCTTCATCAATAATCTACTATTAAGCAAAACTCCCAAATTGGTGGCAGCATGAATGAACGGTATGTTAACTTCATTTACTGTGATGAAATTTTTATTTTATTTTATCAGGAAAATTTAATTAATTTTAATTATATATTTGTATTTAATCTTAAGTTATTACATTCGTGTTTAATTTTAAGTTATAAAATTATTTTTAAGTAATATAATTTAAGCGGCACACAGGTGCATGGTTTTCAAGTTCTTTTTCTCTAAGTTTTTATGTTATAAGCCATATGTACAGTTTACAATATTAATAACAGTTAGCGTTGTTGGTTTCTCTATGTCGAGTCAAAGACATGTACCCAGAACGACTTCTCTCACACAGTGCCATGTGTGTTATAAACATTTTAAGTTGAGGCAGGATGGTACTCTTGTTAGACATGGTGGAAAAGTAAAAGGCTCAAAATGCCCAGAATCTTCAAAGCACCCAACTTCGAACAGGAAACGAAGGTCGCTCAATGTCGTCAACGCAAACATCTGAAAGACGAGTGTAGACTCAAGGGTTGTTGATACTGCTGTCGATATGAAGGGTAAATCGTCACTGGCTGAAGAATTTTTTGAAAAATCATCTGGCTGTCGGTTGGTTGACCATGTGCCCAAGCAATCGCGTGGTAAGTTTGGCCGGGTGCTGAATGATATTTTGAAAAACATCTGCAATAACCCGTCAAATGCTACTTTCTGGTTCAGGTTACTATTTATTCCCCGTTTGATTCTCCGAAAGGAGCTTCGAGGTGGTGGACGGACGAAACAACATCAGCACAAAAATTAATAGCAGATTAGATGCCTTTGGCAAAGGCTCATTTGAAGAGTTGGTAAAATTTGTCGAACCAATTGTAAAGAAGCAGGGTGAAAGGGTTTGTAAACCAAAGCTAAGTGCTTTAGTCAAATGCAAAATAGAACAGGGAAACGTTAGAAATGCTATGAGGATTTTAGCATCGACGGATACAATGGTTCCGGATTCGGTAGACACTATCAACTCCCTAAAGAACAACCATCCTCCCGCTCTGTTAGACAAAAAACAAGTCCAAATAAAAAATCGATAAGTGTTACCGTTAATCCCCAACAAATTATGTTGTGCTTGAGGCACTTTCCAAAAGGAACCTCAGGAGGTAGAGACAGTCTAACTCCACAGCACTTAAGGGATTTAACACATGATAAGATAGAAACAACAGAACTCATCAGTGCCATGACCGGTTTTATCAATCTGCTGTTGGGCGGCGTTTATCCACCCAAAGTGGTTCCATACTTGTTTAGCGGGAGATTGGTGATTTTGTCAAAAAAGGACGGTGGTGTCAGACCTATTGCCATTGGATGTGTATGGAGACGCTGGGTTGCAAAATATGCGTTATTGGTCATCAAGGACAAGGTGGGTCCAATTCTCCAACTTCAGCAGGTCGGTGTCGGGATTAGCGGTGGAGCAGAAAGAGCAATACACGCTGTCAGGCGATTCGTCAATAATATGAAGGAAGATGAAGGCTTTCTAAAACTTGATTTTTCAAATGCTTTCAATTCGATTCGTCGTGACCATAAGCTTCAATGCGTCAAATCTCGGCTCCCAGAAATTTTCAATTTTTGCTGGTTGGCGTACGATGCTGATTCATTTCTGTCTTTTGGTATCAGCATCATTTTTTCATCAGAAGGTGTGCAACAAGGAGATCCCTTGGGACCGTTGCTTTTTTCGCTCTTGATCGACCCACTGGTGAAGGCATTTCGATCTAAATTTGTTGTCGCATACTTGGATGATATTGCGTTGGGTGGATGTGTAAAGGACTTAATGGATGATGTGGAATTGATAAACAGTAATGGTCGTGAATATGGTCTTAAGTTGAATTTAAAAAAATGTAAAATCACTACAAATTCAACAGCTTTAACTTTTGCCCAAACAAATATTGAAAGAATTGAGATGAATGACCTAGAATTTTTTGGTTCGATCGTTTGTAGAGGAAAACGCCATGATAATTTTTGGACTAAAAAGCTGGAAAATTTTAAACATATTATGTCAATGATGACGGAGATTGGCAAGCATGATGCCCTTGTCCTGTTAACGCAGGCAGCATTCATTCCAAGGCTGTCATACTTTTTACGTACCTCTCCTGGCCCGTCTTAGCAAACGTAGATAAATTTAACAACAAACTGCGCATGGGTTTTCAGACTATATTTAATGTGTTTTTTGATGATAAAGGTTGGAGGCAGGATACATTGCCGGTCAATATGGGTGGACTGGGCTTGGGTGTCGTGGCCGAGTTGGCACCATCAGCATTTTGTCATCGGCCGCGGCCACGGCAGCCCTTCAGGAAAAGATCTTACCAATGGATGTAGCATACCAGGATGATTTGAGACTTGAAACATTTCGGAACTGGTGCACGGTTTACGGGGATATAATGGACATAAATGTGTGTTCGCAGAAGAAATGGAATGAACCATCTTTGAATAATTCAAAATCAAAACTGGATGAATTAAATGACTCTCCCTCAGATAAAGCCAGGTTGATGACCGTTAGAAGTAAATTGGGGTCTGCTTGGCTAAGGGCCATTTCCAGTACAGCTTGTGGTACAAGGCTTGACAATGGTTTTATTAGAGTGAGTTTATGCTTGAGACTTGGGTTGCCGGTAGTGTCAGGTTACAGATGCTTGTGTGGGGCGGATGTTTCTCAGTTGGGTTACCATGGTTTATTGTGTAGGCTTGGTTCAGGAAAACAAGCAAGACACTCTGCCATGAATAGTCATATATGCAGATTGTTCCAGAAAGCAGATACACCTGCCATTAAAGAACCAGCAGGCCTACTATCTGAAAGTAATTTCAGGCCAGATGGTTACACCCTGGTACAGTGGTCTCAAGGTTGTTGTTTATCATGGGATGTGACGTTCCCTCACACGTTAGCCAAAAGGTACATCAATTACACGGCTATGGTGTGGTGAAGGCTGCTGATTTCAAGAATACTAAGTACAAAGATTTAAACGACAATACGAGAGTTTTCGTTCCAATCTGTGTGGAGACATTTGGCCCAGTTGATAAACCGACCCAATTATTTTTTAATAACATAGGTACTAAAATAGTTGAAAAATCCAGTGATCTCAATGATAAAATTTGTATAAAGCAAAATATATCGTTGTTATTGCAAAAGTTTAATTCATTTTGTATTTTAGAGAACATTGCTAAGTGCGAGATCCTGTACACTAATATTATCTGTTGAGCAGGGATATCAGGGATTTCATCATATCAGCTCAAACATCATATTGCATGCCAAATCCCACATAACCAGTTAAGTTGCCAGGGTTCATCATCATCACCATATCAGCTCCATCGTTACCAATGTAATCTCCATCTCCTATTATATAAGTCAGGTCACCATGATTTATCATTATCATTTTCACATCAGCTCCATCCAGGCCACCTGGTACCACCACCATCATCATCATCATCATTTAACCAGCTACAACAGATCTCACCATCAGCATCATGAGCAAAGTTATCATCACATCTCAACAATAATATCTAGTACTCGCAAAGAGTACTATCAACAATGACATCATCAACATTAAGTTCGTCCCGTGTCATCAACCTCCCTAGAGCTCCCACCCACTACAATCCACCTTCCATCTACATTTTGAATATCACTAGCTTTGTAAAACCACATGTTGTTAAACATTTGAGTTGTGATGCATTTCACCTTCATCCTGATATTATCATTATCAATTAATCGTGATTAAGGCCGCATCATCCAAATGAACTAATCTCACAGAAGGGACCTCATTGAAAAACTTAGAGGAGTCATCATCTACTTCAAATCAAAAATTCACTCCACAGTTTCACAGTCAGTTTCATCACAACCAGAACACAATTGCTTCAAGACCCTTAGCAATGAATGCAATGTCGATAACACTCCGTACCTCATGTGTGGCCTCTACCATCCTCTTGAATCTTTATACAAAGATTCAACCGTGTTGAATTTTATTGACAAGCTCTGTAATGTTGAGTGATTTAAAACTCATCATTGGTAGTGACTTCAACTAACTTTGTCAACAAACAATTTTGCAAACAGGTCTACATCTTGTAGATATATTTTGGGGATTGACCTATCTAAACCACAACTTTGACAGAATTTATGGATTCAATGTTGACCTCAAAGTAGTTAACACCTACAACTCCCATGTGAAAACCAAACATCTTAAGAGTGATCGCCACTCCTTGTCTACACACTAATCCAACACCCGATATCATCACTCGCCAGTTAATTTCATATCGCCGTCGCCATCCTTATCAACAATGTGCCTGCCTAAACCACCCTCATTAATCAACTTCATCTTCAATAATATAAAAATAAATGCTGACTACAATGATAATGATAGTAATAATGATCATATGAAATATAGTGACATTAGTTATAGTTGTTCTGACCCCTTTAATACAAATAATAATAATAATTTTAATAAATGCCATCAACTTCAATTTAGCAAACTTCAGAGCATCATGCAAGCTAAGTTCGACTATTATTATTGCGCTTGTTTATCTGACAAGTCGTGTTACGTAAAGTGTGCTTAATTGTTGGAATGTTGGTGTTTCTATGTCGTTTTTGTTCTTCAAAAGTTTAAATAAAATTTTAAAAATCGGTTTTCTAGTGATTAGTCAGTTGTAAACCTAAATTTGGTCTTGCGTTAAACTGTTTTTGGGAGTTTTAAAGGTTTATTGTTTAAGTGGACATTTTGTAGGCGGAGTCAATTATGTTAATGAGCAAGTGTAACAGGCTCTCAGTGTAGTAATACATTTTTGGTTAAAAGTTGAGTTTGATTGGAAAATTAGTTTATATAGCTCCTAAATAATTCTAAACTAATAATTCTAAAATAATTCTAAAATAATTCTAAACCAATTTTAATTTATCTCAATAGTCATAGTTTTTAAATTGTAAGTTGTTGATCTGAATTAAAGTTTTAAACAGACTGATTTTAATAAACTATACTGATCAATATGGATGTAAATAAATTAACGTACACTGTTGAACAATTGCTGCAGCTCAATAATAACCTGAAACCTAATAGAAGGATACGTAAAAAAACTTTTCTCGTTAAAACTCTGGAATCCTAGGAAGAAAATGTTTCCAAGAAATAATCTGGTAACAAACAGCTATTGCTTAAAGTTTAAAAAATTTTCTACAGAAGACGATGATGTTGATAGAAATAGAGATAATACCATGATGAAACTTGGTTTGCTCAATGTGAGGTCGTTGTCAAACAAGTCAGTGGTAATCTATGATGCCTTGTTGCATAACAAAATTGATGTTATAGTGCTTACAGAAACATGGCACAGAGCGTCAAATGATGATTCGGTAAAATCTGCTTTGCCACTAGGCTATGGGTACGTTGATGCCGTCAGGGAATTTGATCCAGCTCATGGTGGTTTGATTGTTATGGTTAAGGATGTGTACTCCCTCAGGCGGTTGGATATTCCAAAACTAACATCGTTTGAGTGTTTATGCGTCCAGATCTCGATGGCAAATACACCAGTCATTCTGATGGCGATATATCGTCCGGGCTCAAAAGGTGCTGACAAGCTGTTCTTTGACGAATTGAGTCATGTGGTTGAGAGACTGATTGTGAATAACGTTCCGTTGTTGATAGCTGGTGATTTTAATATTCATCTAGAGGACGCTGATGATTTAAATGCGAGGCGGATGGAAGATTTCTTTGCAACATTTGATATGATCAGGTTTGTGCATGGTCCAACTCACGTCAAAAATGGAACATTAGATTTTGTGGCTGCTACATCGAGTTACGAGATTACTGATGTCACCGTGGGAACACCAGGAGAATTTTCGGACCATGCCCTTATAACGTGTTTGTTGCCCATGCAAAAGATTAAACCAAAAATGGTAACTAAACTCGTACGATGTTGGAAGAAGTATGACAAAGTGGCATTTCGAGGTTCTTTGATGTCAACATTACTGGCTGTACGACCATCTGATGATGCTTGCGCTGGGGATCTGATGAATTGCTATGTGACGGAGTTACGACGGTTGGCAGATGAATATGCACCAATTAAGAAGGTTAACTGTAAATTTTGTCCAGTTACCCCTTGGTTTGATGACGAGTGCATTCGGTCTAGACGATGGTGTAGGAAGCTGGAAAAGAAATATCGCAAAACAAAAAATGATGATGATCGGAAAAATTGGTATGATGCCCTGAAGGACAGAAAAGTGTTGCTGATAGACAAGAAAAATAGTTATTGGCGAAATCAGATAGCATCTTGCAAAAAGAATCCTTCTCAACTTTGGCGTCATGTGAACAAGATGATGCATAAAAATGTAAAGATGTCAGAGTCAAAAAAAACAGAACTTTCATCTGACGATTTTATCAAACATTTTGAAGACAAAGTTGATAGAGTAATGAGGGCGACTCAGCATTATGATTTTCCTGAAATTGAAGAGTTGTCTGTTGAAGTCTTGGATAATTTGGAACCTTGCACAGAAGAAGTGGTTCACAAAATAATAACGCAATCACCGTCAACAACATGCTCAGGTGATCCTGTCCCAACATACATTCTCAAGGAGTTTCTGGATGTTCTTCTACCCTTCATAACTCTCATGGTCAATGCATCTTTGAGAGACGGAATTTTACCAAAGATAGCCAAGCATGCAATTGTCACGCCGCTGTTGAAAAAACCCCAGTCAGATGTGTCTGATCCGGGCAATTATAGACCAGTTTCAAAATTAACTTTCTTGTCTAAGTTAATCGAAAGAGTGATAGTACGACGGTTGGTGCAGCATTTAGACAAACAGAACCTGATGCCGTATGCACAATCTGCCTACAGAAGACATCATTCGACTGAAACAGCATTAACTCGTCTGTTGGTAGATGCGTACGAAGCTGTTGACAAGGAAAGGGTTTCTCTCTTGGCACTTTTGGATATGAGTGCAGCTTTCGACTGTGTCAATCATGACGTGCTGCATTTGGTTTTGAAAAATCAATTTGGTTTGAAAGGCAAGGTACTTGGTTGGTTGTCATCATTTGTTTGCGAGAGAACGTATGAAGTGGTCTACGGGGTACAAGCATCAACAGTCATGGAAATAAAGAACGGAGTTCCTCAGGGCTTAGTGTTAGGCCCACTCCTTTTTCTCCTGTACATTTCAGGAGTAGCGAAATTGTTGAAACATAATGATCTGCGCGTGTACGCATATGCAGATGACATACAGATCATCAGCAGCGCTGGGGTGGGGTCGGTGGGGGAAATGGTTGAACTTGTCTCAGAGAAAATAATGTGCCTAAAAAATTGGTTGGGTTCGTACAGACTAAAATTAATTGAGGAAAAAACACAAGTAATGTTGATTGGAACTAAACAACAGCTCTCGAAAACTGATGTAAAGAGCATAAGATTTGGGTCTGTGATGGTGCCGTTCACTGGTGTGGTGAAAAATTTGGGTTTCTGGTTGGACAATACACTGAATATGCATCAGCATGTGAATAACCTCGTTAGGGACTGTTCATTTCAGCTTCGACAGCTTGGCCGCATAAGAGCCTCTCTTGATCTGGATACAACAAAATCTCTGATCCATGCGTTTGTGGTCAGTCGGGTTGATTATTGCAACAGTTTGCTGAGCGGATGTCCGAAGTCAACAATATATGGGATAAAATCAATACAAAACAGGGCAGCGAAGCTTATAGTACAAGGAAAAAAATATGACCATGTGACCCCAATTTTTCGTGAATTACATTGGCTGCCAATTGAAAGCAGAATCGTTTTCAAAGTTTTGGTGATGATGAAACGATGTATGCAAGGTTCGGCTCCGAAATATCTAATGGATCTGTGCAAAAAAACACCAATAACAGTGGCGGGTAGATTCTTAAGATCTTCCAAAAACAATGATTTTCAGAAACCGTTGGTAAACTCATCAATGGCGTCAAGAAGTTTTGCAGTGTATGGCCAAGGATGTGGAATGATTTGCCAACAGAGCTGAAAACAGATGAGATTGATGAAGTGATTTTTAGAAAAAGAATCAAAGCGCACTTGTGGGATGAAGCGTTTGTGAGAACTTGAACGAGCGCTATATAAACTCTACATATATATACGTTATCGCACGCTTTCATGCATCACCATTAGATTATCTAAACCATCCTTTGTCACCCCATTTATTAAGCATCTCTTCAAATAAAAAAGTCAACAAATGAAATCAGGCAACAACGAACTAGCAGCTGTCTTCACTGATTGCATCAAAATCTCCATTATTAATCACAATTCTAAAACGTTCTCTGATGTCATGCGTGGTATCAAGGAGAAATGGAAGCTAGTCAACAAAACCAGGAGTGCAAGTAAATCATCTACAACATTGGGCATCCCCTCAATGCCAAAACCCTCAACAGCCACTTCGCCACCATTTCAACAAACTCATCTCATCAACAACCTCCATAGAAATCAACAACTGTTCACCAGCAAATTCAACATTTTCATTCACTGACCATACTACAACTCCTCACAAAAGCTTGCCTATTTGGCACTGGTCTTGATCGCCTTCCACCCTGGTACTTCTAACTTATAGCTCCATCTGTCATCCATTCTCAATCATCTACAATATCTGCCTGACCCACTCCTGTATCCCTAACCAATATAAGCACAGAACTATTTACCTTATACCTAAAATCAATTACCAGACCTCACCCATCGACTATCGCCTATATCCATTACACCAATCCTTTTACGCATCTTAAAAAAGCATATTGTCAAATAATACTTCAATACGTGTCTCAATCATCCAACTGTCAAACCATATTTCCAGGATCAATTCGCCTTCTGACCTACTGGGTTCTTTACAGCTGCTATCATTTTTCTTACATTCATTATCTACTAAATCTTCGTTCACCTTATTGCTTTTAATTTTTACGCTCTAAGTCATTACTCACTTGCTTTTAATCTTGCTTTTATTCCTCTACCTGATAACATCTATAATCTCTTAATTGCTTTCGTACTTGATAGAAAAAACTGGTCCAAGCAGTGCAATCTTTCAATAAATTTTAAAAAATCTTTTAAACTAATCATTCACAAGAATCACAAAAAAATTATTCAACTACCAGAAAACCCTTCAATCGTTCACACTGACCTACTTAAAATTCTAAGCACCACTTTAACCTCAATGTTTAACATTACTCTCCACATCAATCACGTCGTCAAGAAAGGTCTTTAGATACTGCACGTTCTCAAAACGTTACGCTCCGATGGACTTAATGGCACTTAATTATTTTATGTCACTGAGTCCTTCATAATTTTTCACATAAAATATGCTGCTTCGTCGTGGTCAGGCTTTGTCACCCAACAACAATTACATCAACTACAATCACTTATCAACTAATTAGACTAAATTATTTACCATCATCATATCCACCCATCACCCAAATCTTCAACACATTAGAAACGCGTCTTTCAAGAAGATAAGCTGAAATTGCTTTCATGTAATCCACCTCTTTCTACAACCGGTCAAAATCACGCCGCACAACCTATGCCAACGCAAACACAACTACGTTATCACCACAAGCAAGACATACTAAAATAAAACGTTTATTCATAAACACCTTAAATTAATCATCAATCGGCCGGACACCAATCGCTTATCCACCTAATCTAGTATTATTATATTATTATTATAAATTTTCCACCTAATCAAGGTTCCATACTCGGAACACTTCTGTTCACAATCTTCATCAAAGACCTCTGCAACATTCCATCATAATGAACGCAGACGACACCAACATACTCTTTTCCACTAAAAAACCTACAGAAGATGTATGGACAATAAATATAACTTTAAAAACAATTGCTGATTGGTTTGCTTTTAACAAATTAATGATTAATTATAATAAACGTTGTTATATTCTGTTTGGACCAATAACAATAACGAATTTAGTACCGGACCTCAACATTAGCATTAATGGACATTCAATCCCGCGTTCCAAATCAACAAAATTTTTATGCACAAGATCAAGGACAATCTCTCTTGGGAACCACACATCAATTCCATGGCTCAAAAACTCAATAAATCTCTAGGTAAATTCTATAAAATTAAATCAAAAATGAGTTACGACATTTTAATAGACCTCTACTATGCACTCATGTATCCCCATTTAACAAATTGCAACATCCTTTTGGGAAAAAGCCCATCTTAAAAAGCTGTCAAAATAGATTTGTACGCATACTTCTAAGTCTCCTTTTAAGTTGTCAGGTTAGTCACTAATACTCCAACATAAATTTGCTCAACACCAAAAACATTCATGTATATATGATTGCGATCTTCGTGTACAAGTTTCTAAATCACATGCTACCTAATGCTCATTTACAGCACCTCAATTCATTTAAAAAACCCAAGACACACTCCCGTTATATACATACACAATCCCAGCAAGAATAAAACTGATACAAACAAGTTTAAACTTTAGCGGGCAGAAAATATGGGAAAATGTGGTGCCTCCAAAAAACAATACTGTCAATCTTATTCATGTATTCAAAAACAAACTTAAAAAATAATTAGTTGATAAAAACTCAGTTTACAATTTTAATTTGTTAACATAATAACAAACTTAGAGTTGAAAATCGATCATGTCTTCATTTATTAAAGTACTCCTTTTTTCTCTTAAATTAACTTATTACTTATTACGTCACTATTTTTTTATTGTTTACATTACTAAGTTAATAACATTTTTTCTTTTTATTTCATTTTACTAATTTGGTACATAAGTTAATACATTCTTTTCATATATTATTTGCATATTGTAGTATTATCATTCATTTCGTAATTATTTATTTAATTATTCTTTAATCGTTTTCTACATCATTTTCTTTATTTATATATTATATATATGTATATTATATATATATTATATGTATAATATTTATATATTAAATTTTTATACATATATATTTATGTGTATATATGTATTTATTTTTATTTTTTATGTAATACTGTTACGATTGATAAATTTTCAGCATTTATCAATGTTTATGTTTGCTTGCGCAATTTTTATTCCTTCATGTCATACTTGAATGAATGAATGTATGCTTACTTTTTTTTTATTATAACTACTATCAATGTGTTTGTATTTATCTACGTATATGTTTGCGTGTTTTAGTTTTATTCCTTTATGTCGTGTTGGTATGAAATGAATAAACGCAGCTTTTACTATTATATCATGAGCCAATATTTTTCATTTTTATACAATTTTATTTTATTTACCTTAGTTTGCAATTGATTATATTGTTTATAATTATTTTTTCTCTCTTTATTACCTTTTATATTTATTTTATACTTTCTTTTTATCTTTACCATTTATATTACTATTTATACTTATTTTATATTTTCATCTCATCTACATACTGCCACCAATATTGATTTTATATTATTTTATTTTACTCCTATAAAATGTATTTTATACTTTTTATATTAATAATTTTATTTTCATCGTCTCACCTTGCATGCTGTTAATTTCATTGTGTTTGACAGAGTTTAATTTGCAGGTGGATTAGCACCATTGATTTACAGAAAAGTAAAAAAATTGTTGTTGTTGAATGAAATTAGATTAGTATTACCATTAGTACCTGTTGCGGTTGCGCCTATGTGAGAGAACACCAAACCAGGAAGAGCAGTGAGTGGGAGAAGAAAAGAATTGTATTCGTTTGGATAGGCTGGACACGTGTTTCGTCCCTACCGGGGACTCATCAGCAGCCCGAATACCTATCAAAATAGTTATCGTAGTTTTTTAATAGCCCGCACCAATCCTTTCGTTAGCTCGTGGTGTTTACATTTATTAATGAAGATTGTTAGTTTTAATCGTTAGAATTTGCAATTTGACAATACTCCCCCACCAGATCGTCGCGTGTGCGTTGGCGACGTGATGGATGAGGGTGAATTGCCGGGATCAATCCTGTGTTGCTGTATCGAAGAAAAATTCGCATTGGAGTGGGAACTCTTGCTGCTTGTTTCTTGGATCACGTCGGGGTCAGCAATTTGTTGCGGTTGCGCTCATGTAAGAGAACACCAAACCAGGAAGAGCAGTGAGCGGGAGAAGAAAAGATTAACATTCGTTTGGATAGGCTGGAAACGTGTTTTGTCCCTACCAAAACACGAATCAGCAGCCCGAATACCTATCAGAATAGTTATAGCAGCTTCTTATATAGCCCGCACAAATCACTTCGTTAGCTCGTGGTGTTTACATTTATTATTGAGGATTGTTAGTTTAAATCGTTAGGATTTGCAATCCGGCATACCTGACATGGGCAGTGATGGAAAGTCAGTGTTAGAATTTACTGACAAATTCGATTTTGTAGCATTTTTATTCATAATTTTTTATTGAGGGCATTAACCATGAAGCCTGTTCTCAAATGAGTTCAATTTACTGCCGATTAGTTTATCCAAAGTGTCATGGTGAAGTTTTCAATTTTTTTCTAACTTATTAATACTGTCCTCAGATAAGCATAGTTTATTATTGATAAATTTATCCAAATTTTCATAAGCAATAAAAGGTATCTTCTCCAGATTCAAAATAACAAATGTCGCTATTTCATCCGTTTATTTTGGTTAAAAATTCAAAAATATCGTTGATATCTTTCACAATTTTAACTTTGTCAACTTTCTTTTTATCCGCTTTTGAAACTTCTCATGTCGTGTTTACACGAGCAGGCGGTTTAAATCTGGATGAATCGTGTTTCAGCAATACCATTTCATTAATAATTACTTTTCTACTTACAGATAGTTCATCAAACAAAAAATTACTACAAAAATATTAACAAAATCATCGTCATTACTCTTTTTTATGATATTAAAAAAAAGCCACGAAAGCCGTGGATATATTTAATATGGATATGGCAGACGCGTTATATATAAATATATATATATACACATTGTTCTATATATATAACATCAAGGTCAATCTAACAAATGTTATATAGGAATGCTATATTTGTTGAAAATGAATTTTAATTAAAGTAAACAATCAGTTTTTAGCAGGGCATCGAACCGTAATTTTTTCGTTTCGGTTTACGGTTTCAGTTCAATCAGCAAAACGAACTTCGGTTCTGTTTCGGTTTTCGTTCCTGAAATAATATCGGTTTATTTCGGTTTGGCTCCGAAACTTAATTTTTTTCAAGCATAGTTCCTTAAACGCATGTAACGGATATACGGACATCAAACTATCACCACAATACTAATTTGAATTAAATTTTAGAATGTGAATAATAAGAAATCAATAACAAAAATGATTTTTAAATCTTGTCAGTTTATTTCTAATATTTTTTTTTTCAACAAATTAAAACAATCATTACAAAGATATTTTGAAATCACTAATATAAATATAAGATTGTTTCAAAAAAAAAAGAAAATTTCCTCCGATTATTAATATATCTTCCAAAATGTTGTCATTGAAACCACTTCTGCAGTCTCTGATGATAAATTTTAATCCACAAACAGATGCTTCCAGGCTCACTTATGTAGCTGGTACTTCAAAATTTTGAAGATGATTGCATTTGATCTTTAATTTCTCCGATTATAATAAATTTCTCTTCACGTGGCAATTCTTACTTAAATTATCGGCAAACTCAGTCGGAAAAACAAACTAAAAGAGAGATAACAAATTTTCAAAGATAATAAAAACTAACATAGAATTTTAAAAGACAAAATGTTATCTAAATATTATTTTTCTGAATTTGACAAAAAATTTTTTTATTATTATTTAGCATTGAACCGTTATTTATTTTGTTACGGTTTTCGGTTTCGGTTAAAATAGCAAACAATATTTCGGTTCGGTTAAGGTTTTTGTTCCGAGCAAAATTTTGGTTTTTAATGGGTTTCGGTTACGGTTCAGTTCCGGTTCGATGCCCTGGTTTTTAGCCAATTGTTTAGCAATTATCGTCCTAGTTTTTTTTTTTGTCAATTATTGACATTTAATTCAAAAATTTGTCTAAAGTTTAACAATAAAATACAATAGTAAAAGTTTGATCGTAAAAAGAAAATGTTACTACGAGAAAATGTTTAATGTTTACGCGTTTAATTCCCTAGAACTAAGAAAAATTATTAGGCAGGTAAAATTATTATGCCATATCTATTATATTTCTGGCCGAACCAAAGACACCATATAAAATTCAGGAGGATACCTGTGAAGCCAAGAGGAAGCCTATTTATCAATATACAACACTTTTTTTATAGGTTGAAGCAAGGATATGCAAAGAACCTCAATTTTTCAACTTTTAATTATTTTCGGTAATGTCAATTTAATTATTTTCGGTAATGTCAATATTATTGTTTTAAATTTATACCAAATAAAAGTAATTAATTACCACATTGAATAACAATTAAAAAAATTAAAATTTTAACATTTTAAATAAAAACAATATTCCATAATTAGTAAATATACGATCGTATCTTTTGACTCGAACTATAAAATAATCACCCTTCAACTCCCCTCCAAAAGTAAGCTCCTTGTTCGACCGTTAAAAGTGAGCGAAGGCCGTTATATTTATTCTAGTAATATGTGTGAAGCACGACGATAGATCAGCTCGGATATACTATTTCCTACTTCTTATAAGAATTCTATTGTTATTCCTATTCTTAAAAACTCATCTTTAGATCCTACCTCTTTATCTAATTATAGACCTGTTACTAATATTACTTTTATTTCTAAAATAATATAAAAAGTAGTTTATGATTAATTTTCATCTTATTTAAACTCTAACTCCTTGCTACTTGTATCTCAATCTGGTTTCAGACATGCTCACAGTACTGAAAATTCTTTACTCAAAATACATAATGATATCCTTTTCTCTAGTGACAATAGTAATCTTACTCTTCTTCTTCCTCTTGACTTTTCCTCTGCCGTTGATACTGTTGATCATACATACTATTCTCTATTCATCTAGATCTTTCTTTTAATATTACTGACTCTTGTCTATCTTGGTTTTCTTCTTATATCTCTAATCGTATTTCTTCTGTTATTGTCAATAATTCTACTTTTAATTCCTCTACTCTTACTTTCGGGGTACCACAGAGTTCTATCCTTGGCCTTTTTCTATTTATACTCTATACCTTTGAACTACCTCGTATTATTGATAACTATTTTTCACTAGTCAACTATATGCTGATGATTCTTATTTTTATTCTTTTTTTCTTTCATCTAATCTCAATAGTGTTCTTCATAATCTATCTCTAAGTCTAAGTCTTTTTTCAATTATCGCTTGATCTGACTCTATATGTTTTAAACTTAATCCTTCTAAATTTGAATTAATTTGTTTTAATAAATCTAAACACTCTATTACTATTTTTCATATTATCTTACTTGATTCTAAAACTCTTGATGTTTATCACAAGTTTCGTAGTCTAGGCTTTATTTTTGATTCTATTATGTCTCTTTCTTCTCAGCTTAATTGTGTTTCTAGAAGTTTTTACTTTTATCTATGTAGAATAAAAAACTTTTGCCTTTTTTTGATGATCCTTCTCTTCACCTTCTTGTTACTTCGTTAGTTTTATCTAGGATTGATTATTGTAACTCGCTCGCTCTACTATGGTCTTCCTGATTCTATACTCTATCTTTTAAGCAAAGCTTTTAACTCTGCTGCTTGTCTAGTTGCTCGTGCCCCTTTTTTTCTCATATATCTCCATATCTTGTTCTCTTGCACTGTCTTCCTATAAAATATAGAATAATTTTTAAAATTTGCACATTGATCTATAATTCTCAATCTAAATTTTTTCTAGTACTTACCAGATATATTAATTTAACCTAAACACCCCGGTTTACGATCGTCTTCTTGTTCTCTCTACCTACTTCTCTGACTACTTCTCCATCACTTGCGAAGTTCAGAGCGGATCCCACGGCAACACTGTAAACGTCTAAAATTTTAATGCAGAATAATGAAGACGAACATAGACGCACCAAACTATATAACTACATTTAAGATGATGGGCTTATTATGTAGTACTGATATACAGTGGAAGATCTAGAAGGCCGTGTGGAAAATATTTTTATGAAAAGTCAGTAAAACTTACAAATTGACGAAATAAACAAATAAAATTTATAACAATTTATACCCTAACCCTAGCCTAATTTTTGCCACACTACCACATATTTTGACCCCGTCAAAATTTAAAAATGCAAACATTTTTTCACAATTTTGGCCCCCCCGCCCCCCCCTTCAAAGTTGTCTAGATCCACCACAGCGCGTGCTAACATATTGTGTATGCATACACTTCGTGTGGTATGGACGAATGTGAATGACTTTGTGGCACGAAGGTTTAAATATATGAAAAGAATGTAGTTCTGCGTTGCCAGAGCTACATAATAAAGAACAAAAAAAGGTCAACGTTTATGTCATGTGCTTTGTTTTCAATTCCTATGTTTGGGACTGCAAAATGTTTATTTATATGTAATTAATTGTCTATGGTTGTTAAAGAGCATGCGCGTTAGCATAAGTTTCAAACAATGTTTTTTAAATTTGAGATTCGGATTTTGTTAACGCATTAATTATATTGATATGATTATCCTGATTTGTTTATGTTGACTAGAATCAATATCCACAAAATACCCTAAAAATGGCTCAACGCATACCTCAGCACATACCCCCCTACGTCACTAATTCTTTGATGATCCGTCAGGAGATACAAAGATTCGAAAGTGTTCATCCCTGCATATACGCCCTGTACGATCTTATTGAAGAAGGACTTCCTGCCGATTCCCCACTACAACGCCAACTTCACGACTACATAGTCTGCATTGAAGGTAAAGTGAAACCTCTCTTTGATCTTTTATAATTGTAATAATTACACTGGCCAACAGGGAAAAAAATGTCTAAAAGTTTTTCAGCTGATTATTACGGGTCAGACTAATTGGCTGACTTATAGTTGGCTGACTTGCATGCCAAAAACACTGAAAAAAATTTTCAATTTTTCTTAATTTAATCATAACAAATTGTTTTAATATAACGTCAAACCTAGTGACATAGTGGCTGTTTTCGAATATTAAAAATTTATAGAAATGGTGGCTGTTTCCAAATGTAAAAAAATTATAGAAACTGCGGCCGTTTCCAAATGTTAAAAAATTAAAATTATATTATACACAGTAGCCATTTCCTTATGCAAAAAATATAGTCATGGCGGCTGTTTTTCAATAAAGTGCGCTCACCTTTCACTGCTTATGTGATGGTACATAGAAAATGTTTAATGTTTGCGCCCACAGTATGCTCAAAAAATCATCTAATCATATTAAATTGATGAAATTGCATTTTGTAAATCTTAAATAAATGAATGTTTTCTAATTATCATATATAAACAATTCGCTTTTTGTGAATCTAATTGATTTTAAATGCTTTTTTATATATTATATATTTATTATATTTTATCTATATTGCTCGTTTTAATTTCTAAATTGCCTTTTTTATAGTACATTTAAGACGATAATACATAAATTGTTAGAAATGTTGGCATAAGTTTACATTCAGAACTACAACGTTTGTTTACATTCACTACCTCTAATAGAGAGTAAAATAAGCTCCTCCTACTGAAATTCGAAAAGTGCACTGAGATTAAAATAGATGCATGCGCTTTTGCATGTATAGGTAGATAGATTAGTACGTTATCTGTACGTATATTATAATTTGCATGTATAATTTAGTAAAATAATGTGTATAATGGATATGTGTGTAAAGTCGATGTGTGTATATGTGTCAGAGTTAGGGGCAGGGTTAGAAAAAAAACTAAAAACTTCCAAAAAAATTATTAAAATTTAATTAAACCTATTTTAATAAATTGATTTTAATAAATTTTAATATATATATATATTGTTATTTTAATCAATATATTACTATGTTAACATATTTAAATAGGATATACACGTTTTTAAAATTAAAATTTTTAAAATTCTTCTTGAAAGCAATTATGATGACAAAATCAATCAATCAATCAATCAATCAATCAATCAATCAATCAATCAATCAATCTTCGTTTTGCGTCCAGAGACCTGGTTTCCTGAGGTAGGATGTAATTACGACGACAAAATACAAATATATATACAAATCATTGACCAATGATACACAAAGTCATACATAAAATGATGTTTTATTATGTTGTTTAGTTATTATTTCCTGCATGCTTTACAAAACCATTTTTTTTACTTGGAGGCCTTTTGATGCCTGCACAAGAAAAGTGGAACCACTTGAGACAGGAATCACAGTAAACACTCTGAACATTCCTAAGATCATTGCTACAGGTTCCACACATCCATTCTTCATTACAACATTTAGTAATCATCTCTTTCAAAACATTCAGATCTAAAAAATTTTGTAATAAATATAGACATTCTTGTACTTGTCCATCTAAGAACTGACTTAGTACAGATTGCTGATATTATAATCTTGTCCACTACCAAATAACCACTGTAACATCTGTATTTGCTTTTCTCTTGTTGGCTTCAAAGCAAAAGATATGGATTTACAATGTTTTGAAGGATGCCTAAACAGGTTAGTGTTGCTCCTTTTGGTCGACCTCTTGATTTAAAAGCCCAAAGAAAAAGAAGCTCTGAACATGGCAATGATCATGATTCTGTTGCAAGTTCTTGTGGCTGTTAAATGGCTGGCAATGCATCAGGAATTTCACCAAAAAGAACTTCATCACCTACAAAAATTAGATTTAATGACGTGTTTATGTAAATATTAGTACACTTTTAAATATAGTACATGGGAGAATATAATGTTTTAGGAAATTATTTAATTATGGATGTCGATAAAAAACATTCAATAAAATAGTTGAAAAAATACCTGTAGGTCTACTGGATAGTTCTTCAGTGTCAAATCTTTGTTGCTGTGAATGCAGTGGCAAGGCCTCAAAAGAAGAATATTCATCATCTGCAAAATTAAGCGCATTGATTAAAATAATGTTACATATAGTTTCAATGTAAAAAATATACTTTGACCATCAGTGGGTATTTTGTAATCATCAGTTTTCTGCGACAGCAATTGTGAAGGTAAGATTTCAATATTGTCACCTGAAAATACAGACACAACAGTTTTCAAAAACAATGAGTAATATTAAAAAAACATAATTGAAATGCAAAAAGAATACGTTGATCATCCTTGAGTACTTCAACACTTTCAGTTTCAATTTTTTGTAGAAATGGAGGCAATGGTGATGACAAGGTCTCAAGAACGTCACCACAAGAACTTTCTTTATCTTCAAAAATATGGGTAAAGATATAACATTGTGCTAATTACCATTATAAACATTTAAAACATACTTTGATGGTTATCAATTGATACATTACCATAGTAAACAACTTCTACTTCATGACCATCCTTCCATGCCTTGACAATTTGTTCTAACTGTTTGAAATCGTCCTGTGAGAGAAGTTTTCAAGTAAAATTGCTTTTCATGCTGGATATAAGAATAGTTTGTCATGATTTTATAATATCAAAAGAGTGGCGAATCACAATTCGATTTTTTAACTGAATCACGAATAATGGACATGCAAACTTTGTGAAAAGATTCATTTTGTTGTGATCATTTACAAGTGGGCTAATTTGATGACAAAGATATGTTGTGATAAAAAAGCGTTCTAATTACAATATCAGCCAATTATGACCTTTAATTAGGATATAAAGTTTTTTAACAAAATTACTAAAATAAAATAATTATCATAAGTAATCATAAATTGCTCACCTGAATGTTTTATTGGGTTGCTTTTTTTGTGCTCTTTCAACAGTTGTTGAATCAGCAGTAGTATAAATAACAAATGATTCTTTTTCATATTCAGATAATTTTTTCTTAAAATCTACAAAAGTAACCAATTTTTCTCTTTCAACAAGCGACAAAGTAAAGAAACTAACAAGAATATTTGCATATATAACGTATATATTTTGTGAAATTGTTGCATTGCGCTGCATTATTTTAATACAATTTTTGTTACAATTATTTAATTATATTATAACTATTTGTTTCAAATGAATTAAGAAAAATTGTGGTTTTGTGAAAATCAGTTAAATACCAAGTACAATAAAAAACATCTCAGGTCAGTCATTATATATTTTGTGACATTGTCGCAATGTGCCGCATTATTTTAATACAATTTTTGTTCAAATACCTATTAAGAATAATTATTTAATTATATTATAACAATTTGTTTCGATTAAATTAAGAAAAATTGTGTTTCATTATGTTCGGCATGCAAGCCAGTCAAGTTGGCCAAGTCAAGTCAAATTAGTCTGACCCGGTTATTGCTATATTATAGTCAATTTGCATATGCTGAATCCGAAAAGCTGAATTTGGAAATCAAATAAGTTTTGTCAGATTAGCTCAAATTTTCATTTTATACAGGCCAAAACACATACATACATCAGAATATTAATTTTATGCCTGGATGCAAAAAATGATTATGAGAAATTGTCTCAAAATTATAAGCATGACAAAATGGTAATTGAGGTTTTTATTGCAGCTGAATACATGGGAACCAATAATTTTTTGTCTGTAAATGATGGTTGAGTTGAATTTCCCAATTTAAATAAGCTAGAGATAGATTTTTTTATTCTTTATAATGCAACTCTGTCAAACGCAGAACTGCTTATATGTTATTTTATACTTATAATTAAACTTTCATGCCACAAAGGCTGTACACTGTCCACACCACGCAACGCACAAACACATTATATATGCACATGCAAAAACCACATCATACTGGTATGTTCAATAAGTAAAAATAAAATATAAGATTTTTTTTTTTTTATTCTTTAAAAATCAGGATCTGACAGACGCAGAAACTGTAGCAACATGCAAGGCAGTGAAACAAAATTAAACAAATAAGTGAGAAAATAAATACAAAAAGTGAGGAAGAGAAATGATAAAACATGAAAATAAAATATGTTAGAATAAAATAAATAATAATAAGACAAATAAAAGAAAAGTAATTGACAATGGAATATAAAATGAAGTAACAGCAAATTGATAGACTAGATGATGACTTAGTGGGTTAGTGAGGTGATCGATAGATAAAGGCTAGGCCTGTGTGCGAAAAAGTTAAATGATTATTAATATATTTGGTGACTTATTAATAGACTAAATGAGTTAATAGTGAGAATTGATGAATTAATAGACTAAACTTAGTGAGTTAGTGAGGTGATCGATAAAAGTGAGGTGATCAATAAGTAAAAACTAGTTCAGTAATGATGAAGTTTTCTTAAGTGCTAATATGTTTGAGGTGTCTTGTGATGAAGGTCTTTTCCTGGTATGTAGATTGGGCGGCGACTTGATATTTATGTTTGCGCTGACGAAGGTTGTGTGTTGTAGTTTTGATTGGTGGTAGTAGAGGATGGATGACGTGGTTGTTGTTATTTTCTATTTTCATGAACAGCCTTGAATCGAGTGTGTTGAATATCTGAGTGATGGTAGGATATTATGCAGGTAGGTAGTTGAAGTGAATTAATTTTTTGATGAAAGATTGTAGCTGCTGAAGTTGTTGCGTGGCAAAACCAGACCAGGAGGCAGCTGCATATTTGATGCGTGAGATGATGAGTGATTCGGTGATGTCGAATAATTTGATGCCTCTGAGAACGGAGTGTTTTGAGTGCGTGAAATGTTTGAAAGCCTTTTGTGATGATGTAATTGATATGAGGTGCTATATTGAGTGTGGAGGTGAATGTGGTGCCTAATATTTTTAGTTGATTTGTGCGAGTAATTGATGGGTGTTCAGGAGGTAATGTTATTTTTTTACGGCTATTGTGAATGATGAGTTCAAATGATTTATTGAGATTAAGTGAAAGATTGCATCGTTTTGACCATGTAGTTAATGAGTCGAGTTCTGATTGAATGGTGTTTGAGCTAGATGATGGGATGATAAGGTAGGTGTCGTCAGCGTATTTGATGATTTGATTTGAGCTATGGAAAGTTTTGAGAGTAGAAGCGTTGATGATGAAGGTAGATGGGCCAAGGACAGAACCTTGAACTACGCTAGAGTTAATAGGTAGAGTAGATAAAAGAGTAGAGCTAAAAAGGGTAGAATGACTCCTATTAGATAGGAAATTAATTATGATATTGTAAATGTTGTCAGGTAATGGAAGAGAGGCTAACTTATTTGAAAGTGAGAAGTGATTGAGAGTGTCAAAAGCTTTAGAGAAATCAAGGGCAATAAGATGAACATAATTATTATTTTTTAAGATTTACTTTATTTGATTCTGAAAATAACAGTCATTTAGTAAAAATAACAAAATACATATGCATAAAAACGTAGTTTGAAATATAATTCAAACACTGGTAGATCAATGGGAGAAGGGATTGGGTGGAATGCATCATCCACACCAGGCCATGAAAAAAGAAAATATTGAAGATTCTGTGTTAAAAAGTCTTCAACTTAACATTTTGTCAATTATTTTGTTCATCATTTTGAAATTTTCCCTCATCCCTCCTCTTACCAAAAAATTCTGGATTCGCCACTGATTAAAACGAGATGTGAATCTTTTGTTATTTTAAAAAAACCTAATTAAAAAACAAAATCTGTGTTTGCTTCAAAACAATTTATTTTGTCAAATTTAGAGCCTTAACCACCTCAACCTTATTATTGTTCTTTTTATAGCTGAATCATTGCACATACCTAACCATAGGCTTGAGAAATCTTATTTGTGATTAATGGGCAAAAATATTTCCCATTTCAAAAATATTGAAATACTGAGTTTTGTTTTGAGGGACAGTTACTAATGTAATATCAATTTTGTTTTTAATTTATCACTTTTATAATTTTATGCTGGGGTGCACTGTCTATGAGGCACGTCCCCAGATGGTGGATAGGGGAAAGTCATGGGCAGGGAGATCTTCTAGGATTGCATCGAATAATACGGAATAAGATGCCGCGAACCAACTGTACCAGAAAAAAGAAGACAACGGTGAAAGAGGTGGAGGATCCTAAGATAACGGTTCAAACAGCGGATGATCTTCTATTCTAAATCCACTGCCTTGTGGAACAGGGACCTTTAATCCAAAGGCTGGGTGCACTGCCTACAACAGTGCTCTCTTGGGCACGAAATAAACTGCAACCGCGCTGCCTTGTGTGATTTTAGCTAAAAGGCTAGGCCCACTGATTATATCTGGTGGTTGTCGTTAGAAATAGGGCAATTCCAGATAAAAAAATTCTTGACCCAAACATCATGTCATCACAAAAAAGAAAAGATCTCCTATTTCCTGGAAAACCTTAAATGGTCAAGGGGTGACAATATTTGTGACAATAGTGACAGATGGTGGATAGGGGAAAGTCATGGGCGGGGAGATCTTCTAGGATTGCATCAAATAATACGGAATAAGATGCCGCGAACCAACTGTACCAGAAAAAAGAAGACAACGGCGAAGGGTTGACATCTGTCCTCTGCAGGAAAAAGATGAAAATCAAATGGTGTCTCTCTCATTGGGAGTTACAATTTGTTCTGGAATGGCCAAAAGACAGTCCAAAATGGAGTGGGAATTTTCATACGGGAATCACTAGCACAAAATGTACTGGAGGTGACCCGAATCAGCTTACGCCTAATGCTGATTAAACTCAGAATGGGAAAACAGGTTCTGACTGTTTTCTCTGCATATGCACCACAAACCGGTGAATCTGAAGACGCCAAAAATGACTTCTGGAACACACTCTCCGATGCCGTCAGGAAATCACTATCATCAGAAATACCATTGATATATGGCGACCTCAATGGCCATGTTGGAGATAAAGCAAATGGGTTCTACGGTGTCCATGGAGGCTTTGGCTACGGGTATCAAAACGAAGACGGTGTACGGATTCTGGAATTTTGCTGAAAGCCATGAACTCTCCCTGTTGAACACCTACTTCATGAAGAGGGCAAAACATTTGATCACATATAAAAGCGGGATGTCATGCACACAACTTGACTTTATTGTCGTCAGACAACAGCACAGACGACTATTCAGGAATACCAAAGTCACTCCAGGCGAAGCATGCATCCCTCAACATCGATTGCTGGCAGCTGATATGATCATGGAACGATCACGCCCTGTGACTGATCGAATGCCTATTAGAATAAAGACATGGAAACTGAAGAACCCCATGTTCAGAGAGAAATTTGAGGAGTTGGTATTGGCACAGCTGGATCGTCTGGAGAAGGTAGACATAACCTAGAAATCTTTTCAGGACACTCTAGTGAACGCTGCAAAAGCTGTATGTGGAAAATTGGGACCAAAACGCCAACACAACCGCGAAACTTGGTGGTGGGGCATACGTGCGGCGTGGGGCAGATGACACCTCCTTGCCTCAGTACTGATGCGGCGTAGCATTCTTCTACCGCTGCGCTCAGAGCTATACAATACAGCTATACGTTCTGTTCTGATGTATGGTGGAAAGACATGACCGATGACAACAAAACTCGAACAGCAGCTTCACCAAACTGGCATGAAGTTGATTCGTTGGATGCAGCATGTCGACCTATGGGACCATATCCATACAACCTAGATCCTGAACCGATCGGGACTGTGCACGTTGAAGGTCGTCATCGCTTTCGATGGTTTAGCCATGTGAAGCGATGCGAAAACGATACAATAATTTCCGTTACTGAGCACCAGGTGCCTGGCAGCCGCCCAAGAGGTCGCCCAAAGAATTCCTGGACGCAGAACATACAGGAGGCACTTGGTCTCAAGAAGACAGACGCAATGGATAGATCGACTTGGAGACAGAAGCTGATGAATGGAATAAAAAAATGTCCCACCCAATACGGATGGAGACTAAAACGAGGATTGATTGATTGAATTTTATAAATATGTTTTTATAAAAATTTTTGCTAGTTTTTTATTTCAATTATTTTTAAAAGCACCGCATGATCAACCGTGCCAAATGCAGAACTGAGATCCAAAAGCGCCAACAATACCACATTACCATTATCAACTTGTTTTACTTTATTACCAAATGCCTTTAGGAGAGCAGTTTCCGTAGATAAACCAAGTCTGTAAGCCGACTGAACCGACGGCAAGAGTCTATGGGTGGATAAATGACCCAGCAAACAAGGCACACACTGTTGTTTTAGATATCACAAATGCTGGTTTAACCTCGTCTTCCGTACACGTATCAAACTCCAGGAACTTGTCACACTGACTGATTGCGTGCTCTGGGTCGTCTTGTAACGTTTCTTCTCTGATAGCTTTTATCTTTTTCACAAAAAACCTCATCATATCATCAGCCGTCAACGATAAACACTCGGTTGATTGCTGCTTATCATTTGTTAATCATCACCATCACCTCTGTCTGTCTTAATCATTGCAACTGCACCAACTAGTCAATAAACCAGCTCTTGTCAATAAATGCTTTTATTTCAATTATCACTTTTTTTTTTGTTTAGTTCATTAAAGATTTTCTTTATCATAAGCTTAGTTAAATTGATTTTTGATCACCAGATATTGATTCACATTTGTTGAAAACTCAAAAATATTTTTTTTTAGATTCTTTTGTTAACAGTCAGGAGTGGACTCTCAGTCGATCAGTACCAGATATTAAACTAGTAAGTTAAATTTAATTAGTGATTAATTAAATTTAAATGGAATTTGTATAAAATGATAAATTAAAAGTCCTGGGCATGACATAAAACTGCATCCACGCTGCCTTGCGTGCTTTTGAGCAAAAGACTTTGCCCACCGCTTATAACAGGATGGGTTTCCGGATGTAAAAAGTTTCCCCAAAATTTATTCCATGCCATCACAAAAAACAACGGCCCCTAGTCCCCAGCAGGCCTTAAGTGGTCAAGAGGTGATAAGAATCCCTGGAAAGTATGCAATAGCGGAGGGATGTTGCAGAAAAATTTAGAATGGCCCCTCTATTGTACTTAGACTTGGAACGCTCAATGTTGGATCACTGACTGGCCGCAGCATGGAAATCGCAGAAATGCTCGTGCATAGAAGGATTGACATCTGCTACCTTCAGGAGACCCGATGGAAATCGAATGGTGTCTGTCATATCAATTCAGACAAAGAAAAATATAAACTATTCTGGAATGGTCAAAAGACGGCCAAAAATGGTGTTGAAATTTTTGTCAAAGAACCGCTAGCCCAAGAAGTACTGGATATTAAAAGGATTAACTCACGTCTCATGTGGATCAAGATTCTCCTAGAAAAGCAAACAATGACTATTTTTTCTGCATACGCACCACAGACAGGTGAATCAGAAGAGATGAAAAATGACTTCTGGATTGCGTTCTCTGACACCATTACAACAATACCAAAATCTGAAACAATCCTGATTGGAGGCGATCTCAATGGCCACGTTGGAGAGAAAACAGATGGTTTTGACAACGTGCATGGCGGTTTTGGCTATGGAGAACGGAATGAAGATGGCAACCGCATCTTTGATGTCACGGTTTTGTATACTGAAAAAGGTTGGAACATCTCATAACATACAAAAGTAGACCATCAGCCACGCAAATTGATTTCTTCGCTCTCAAGCAACAACACCTGGCGAATCAACATACACACCTTGTGGCAGACCTGGTTGTCGAACTATCAAAACATAACTCTAAACAAATGCCTCGGAAAATCAAAACGTGGAAGCTGAAAAGCAATATTCTACGTCGACAGCTCATTCCAGAATATCTTGTTCGACTTGTGATGGAAATGTATACGAATACTAAGACTCTCGTTAGCACAACGGTTGGAAACACAGATGCATTGGACATCGGCGTTGAAGCCCTCAATGCCCTCTCTGTGATTCTCGACAGACAAATAAGCACGTAGTTTCCAATTGTGGTTCTACATCCGCTCTGGCAAGATATACCGAAAGACACAACAAGATATTGGCCGTGATCATCAATTGGCTGAAAATATCCGCTCCAGCCAATTGCCGCATATTTGCAGATATAGAGTCTGAGGGTATTCGCCCAATATCTCAATTATTCAACACTTTACGACCCGATATCGCCATACTTCAAAATAACAAAATTGAGATTCTAGAATTAACTGTTTGCCATGAAACCAATCTAGAATCCTCCAGGCAATACAAAAGAAATACTCTAATAATTTGCATTGTTGTTTAAATAAAGACTATAAGCATTGTCCATTAGTTATAAACTCATTCGAAATAACGCCCATTGGTTTTTACAATAATTTTAATTTGTCACTGTTTAAAGTTCCATGGCCGCTATCATTTAATGATAAATTGATAAACACTGTTATAAGATTATCGTATGACATTTACTGTGACAGGAACAAGCTATGATGCTAATTAAATATATTTCACCGTTCTGCACTTAACTAACATTAACTTATATATATATATATATATATATATATATATATATATATATATATATATATATATATATATATATTTTATCATTGTATGTTTTTTATGGTGAAAAATATAAGATGTTCCCATTATTATTATTATTATTATTATATTATCATCATCATCATTATTATTAAGAAATATAAAAGCAATAAAAGAACAACAATAAACCGCAGCTTTGAATCATCTGACATCCCTTCAATGTCAAGGAACAATATTAAAATCAATTCAAGCACACATCCCAGCTGTTCGCATAGATCGTTGGTCGAGGTACGTAACATGTCTTCCGGAAGTTCTGTTTAAATTTGTCAGAAAAAGTTTAATCCAACAACTTCCGACAAACGCCAACCTTCAAAGATGGGGAAAATCATGCACTGCACAATGTCCTCTATGAAGCGCTTGCCAAACAAACAAACACGTTTTATCAAATTGTGGCGCGGTGTCGGCACTGAAGCGATTTACAACACGTCACAACAAAATTCTTTCAATAATATTAGACAGGTTGAAATCATGCGCAGGCCCTGATGTCTCCATATATGCAGACACGGATCAAGATAAGTATCAGCCACTATCCTGCCTCTTCAAGACGCTACGTCCTGACATCGCACTACTTTGCGATAGCAACATTGAAATCCTGGAGCTCACGGTTTGCCATGAAACAAACTTTCTGAAATCAAAGGACTATAAAATGGCGAAGTACTCCCATAATTTGCAAAAAAATTTGACCAATAATTATAAACATTCTAACGTTACAATTAATACATTTGAAATATCCCCTTTAGGTTTTTTTAATACTTTTGATTTGTCTCTTATTAATTTAATATGGACTGATGATTTTATCAACAACCTTATTTATGCAGCAATTTCGTCGTCATATAGTATTTACTGTGATAGAAATGCAAATTGAATGAACCATTTAGGACTAACCTTCTCTCGTTGTACACATCCTTTTTATAAGATGGCGAGCTTCGGAGATTATTTCAGGACATTTTACTATATACATATATATTTTAATTTTGATTATCATTGACAATTAATTGTTATTTTCTTTTTTTCATTTCATGTACGTTTTTACGATGAAAATAAAAAGGTGTTCTCATTATTATTATTATTGTTGTTGTTGTTATTATTATTATTATTATTATTATTATTATTGCTTTTGACTTTGAACAAGAGAGTCGCTTTTATGTAGCTCATTGTTTATTTTAGCAATATAAGGTTTTATAACGTGGTATATATTTAAATTTTATATCAAATTGTAGGATAATTGATAAAGAAAATGGCTGCCTTTTTTAAAATTTGGTTTAATCGATTATTTTAAGGTTAATAGTCTAATTAGTTTAATTTCTTTTAACAATGTAAACGCAACAATTTGCCCGTATTGCTATAAAGACTTTAATTTTATTAATAGACACTCCTGGCGGTGTACAGCAATTCATTCTAACTCTAAGGAAATTATTTCACCAAACAATAACGTTAACATTTTTTCCAATTTATTAACAAATAATAATAATATTTTACCTGATAATTTAAATAATATGATGACTTGTTGTTGTGGTAAAACTTGCAAGGGTCGGAAAGGACTGTTGATGCATCAAAGATCATGTAAATCTTACAAATCGCTCAGACCCACGAAGTCCGAAGTGGAACCAGTCGACAGCGATGATAACAATGCAACAACATTTCAACACACATCAGATTCAACAACTATTCCAAAACCACTACCTGGTATAAAAATACTCAAATCGTCAACACATTGGGTTAAAGCCAACGCATTTTTTCATATTGAACTAAAACGTCTTAACAACTGTGCTGACGTTGACAACTTCGCCATCGAATTTCAAAACATAATTTACTCACATTTGCGTCAAATTATGGAACGTTAACAAAAGATTCAACACCAAGAAGCACAAAAATTGCAATATTAGACATTTAAAAACAAAATTAAAAAAATTAAAGATAGCCAACTCATGCTCAGCAGGCAGATAAGGGCAACATTAAAAACTAATAAAGTATCTAAAAATAAAGACAATATTTTAACTAAACTGAAACAGAACTTTTGGAAAACATGAAATAATATTTTTAACAAATCTAATTCTGAATCGCCACTCTTCAACATGGAAACAGCAGCCAACTTCTTTAAAAATCTACTAAACGCTGGTGATCGTACCACGTTTCGTCTCCCAAATTGGATCCCTTCCTTCTCCGTCGTTTCAAGCAAATTTAAATCCGCCAACTTACAATGAGATTACTGCAATTGTGAAGAAAAGAAAAGCAAAGGCATCTCCTTGTCAAATTTCAATTATAGTTTTCAAAAGATGCCCAATATTGAGAACATACCTTCATAAATTGTTTGCAATGTGTTGGCGTGCTACAATAATTCCAAAATGCTGGTGTAGAGAATTGACGGTCCTAATCTACAAAAAAGGTGATTCACAAGACCCATCAAATTTTCGTCCAATTACTTTGCAACCAGTAATCTATAAATTATTTTCAACTCTCATAAAATCAAGACTCTACAACTTTACTGACAAAAACAATTTTATCAACAAAAATATACCAAAAGTCTTTTACCCAACTGTCGATGGGTTAGCCGAACACACCCAAATGTTAACCCATCTATTAAAAAATGCCAAGCGACATCAACGCACCATTGTTGTTACATTGTTGGACTTAAGAAATGCTTTTGGAAAGGTAAACCATCATCTCATCACTTCGATCTTAAAATATCATGTTCCACTAATATTTCATAATATAATAGCATCAATGTATTGCAACTATTCTATATCACTATCTGTTAACGGTGAATTGTCGCAAGCAATACCAGTTAGAAAAGGTGTACTTCAAGGCGACCCCTGTTCCCCGCTGCTTTTTAATATCTGTTTCAACCCTCTCATGAAAATCTTGGACACCAAAGAATATAAACAACCTGGTTATCTCTGGGGCCCAACTTCCAACATAAATACTAGATCATGGCTTCAATTTGCCGACGACTCGGCAGTCATTGCTCACAGCACTGAAGGAGCACAAAAACTGATCGATTTGAATCAACTTTGGTGCAACTGGTCAGAAATGAAAATGAGAGTTGACAAATGCTGCTCGTTTGGAATGAGGAAAAAAGATGGCAAATATGTTCAATTCTTGCCACGGTTAACGATTGAAGACGTACAAATCCCTAACGTGGAAATTGGTCAATCTTTCAGGTATCTAGGCAAACTACGATTATGAATGCAAAGATTCCGAAGCAAAAAACGAGTTACAGTTGAAGGTCATTCAGTTGTTGGAAAAGATCTCAAAGTTGGATGTGCGCCCACAACAGAGACTACAGGTTTTGAGAAGGTTTGTTCTCACTCAAATAATTTTTGAACTTCGCAGCTACAGTTTCTCGTTGACTTGGATAGCAGAGAATCTGGATAATCTAATTGTTGAAGCTATCCGAAACTGGTTGGATATGCCAATTAGTGGCTGTGTAGCAGAACTAAATTCGCTGCCAGCATTGATGGAAGGCCATAATATTATGTCCCTAGAGGATACCTCAGAAAAAACGAGATTGAAGCTGTGAAACTATTTTAAAACCAACCAAAACAAAGAAATTCAATGTTTGTACAAAGAATCAACAATCAATTACATCAAAGTTGACAGTATCCCTAGAGAATCTTGCTGGAGTCCTCTTCAAATTTGCCAGGAAATATTTGGTACTGCAACTGCCAACAAACGCCAATTTGTTTAAATGGGGCAAAACTCCAAGTCCTTTGTGCCTTCTCTGCGGTTGTAAACAAACAAATAAACATGTGAATTCTAACTGCGGTTCCACATCCACACTTAAAAGATACACTGAAAGACATAATAAAATTTTGGCCGCGATCACCAACCGATTGAAACTATGTGCGCCTGCCTACTGTCGGTTGTTTGCAGATTTAAAAATTGACGGTGTTCACCCTATATCAGATCTGTTCAACATTCTACGACCTGACATCGCCATACTACTAGGCAACACAGTAGAGATCTTAGAGTTAACGGTTTGTCATGAAATAAATCTTGAATCATCCAGGCAATACAAGATCAAAAAATATTCAGACAATTTGCACAGTTATCTAAATGACAACTATAAACACTGCACAATAATTATAAATACTTTTGAAATATCACCAATAGGTTTTTATAATAATTTTAATTTTTCACTTTTTAAAATTTTGTGGCCAGATTCTTTCAACGATGAATTGATAGAGACTGTTATAAAACTATCGTATGGCATATATTGTGACAGAAACAATTTGTGATATATATTTGAATATACTTCACCGCTATGTACTTTTTCTAAAAATGAGCATTGTGGCAATCATTGACATTTTATTACATTTTATTATATTATTGTGACATTTCATTATTTTATTTTCATAATTATTTAGTGTCTTTGCCTTGAAATAAAAGAGTTCGCATTATTATTATTATTATTATTATTATTATTATTATTATTATTATTATTATTATTATTATTAATGTTATTCACTCTATTGATATTATTCACTCTATTGACATACCTCAGAGGATTGTACTGTGGTTAAATGCTTTGTTGAACAAATAACATTTTAACTCTCTTCTGAAATCTTTTTCTGGAACAATTTGCTTCAATTTTGTTGGAAGATCATTCCATACCTTGGGCAGAGCAACCTGTATACATCTGTTACCCTGTTTTGTCCTGGTCCTAGGAATTACCATCATTTCTGATGAAACCGAACGCAATGCATGTCCCACATCAACTTCAGTTCTTTTGTGAAAAACCTCCTTCAGACATTCTGGGCCACCACCATGTACGCAACCATGAGCCACCACGGCCATATTAAATTTTATCCGTTTCCTGATCGGCAACCAGTGGAGATTTTCCAACAACTTTATAATGTGATCACGTCTACTTATACTAATGACTAATCTGGCGGCAGCATTCTGGATTCGTTGAACTTTTTTTACTACCCCTACACCAGCACCATACAGCAACGAATTTCAATAGTCTAATCTAGACAGTACAAAAGTCACCACCAGGCTGATTGAAGCACCACACCGCTAATACCAAACGAGACCGATAATCTTTTTAAAAGCACCGCATGATCAACCGTGCCAAATGCAGAACTGAGATCCAAAAGCGCCAACAATACCACATTACCATTATCAACTTGTTTTACTTTATTACCAAATACCTTTAGGAGAGCAGTTTCCGTAGATAAACCAAGTCTGTAAGCCGACTGAACCGACGGCAAGAGTCTATGGGTGGATAAATGACCCAGCAAACAAGGCACACACTGTTGTTTTAGATATCACAAATGCTGGTTTAACCTCGTCTTCCGTACACGTATCAAACTCCAGGAACTTGTCACACTGACTGATTGCGTGCTCTGGGTCGTCTAGTAACGTTTCTTCTCTGATAGCTTTTATCTTTTTCACAAAAAACCTCATCATATCATCAGCCGTCAACGATAAACACTCGGTTGATTGCTGCTTATCATTTGTTAATCATCACCATCACCTCTGTCTGTCTTAATCATTGCAACTGCACCAACTAGTCAATAAACCAGCTCTTGTCAATAAATGCTTTCACATTGCTCTCTATCTATATGATGAACAGTTTGCCTCTCATCATCCATCTTTAAGAAACTTTTGAAGCAGCATCTTTTTGAACAGGCCTTAGGTAGTCGTACTGATATTTGTTTATTGAGGTGCCTCTGGCGCTATGCATAGGGCGCTGCACAAATAACATTATTATTATTATTTTAATTAAATAATAATAATAAACAATTCAATCAATAAAATCAAAAGTTCATTAAAGGCTAAACATTTTTGCAATCATGCTCATTGAAAAAACAATTTTGCAAGGATTGGACTTTGATTTTGCTTTTGAGGGGTTTTCTCACAGAAATTTTTTTTTCTAAACTATTTAATGCAAATGCTTTTATGTAAATTTGTCATAAAATTTTGGCAGCAAATTATGGGCACCTATGGGTGGCAAAAAGGTTAATCTGCCACTGCATTCGCACTTTTCGATTCGTGTCGCCTACATAATCAAAATGGCTTTCCTTGAATTTGAAACATACTGGCCCTGGAATATTTGAAACATTCCCATCAGACGTGAAAGATTCACTGTATCTCTTCTTAAATAAATCGAACAATATTAAATAACCAATGGCTCTGTTTTTAAATAATAATTACATTGGGAATATTATTATTTTGTTAAACATTATGGTGCTTATTAACAATTTTTAATTTTATTTACTTGTTTGTTATGTAATTTACAAACTTTGAATAATGAATCTAAATGTAATTTAGATTCATTATTTAAAGGCCATTAATCTTTTTACTTCATTGGACAATAAATAACCACTATAGCCATCTAGCTATGGTGATTATTTATAGGATGGATAAAGCATTTGTTTGTAGTTTTTTTGTTTCGATTCTGACATGTCGGAATTATTACACATGATTATAGCTTCAAATAATCTGATTCCGACGGAATTTGGAATATGTGATAGAATGTGTCAAAATCGATCGGAATGCAGACCTTCAATTCAAACTGAATATTTCTTTTGAAGAACTAAAAATTTTAAAACGTTTTTATTAAAAATTATTTCGTAAACACTTTTTTCCCAAAATGAAATCTAAATAAGCTTAATTTCTATTTAAAACCTATTTGAGGTCATCTCTATATATTCAATTTTTAAAAAAATGTTTATTTCAATGTAATTTACTATTATTGTATTCTATTTTGTCCCATGGCAATCATCTCGCTTTTGTTTACATAATATGTTTTACTTTGCTAGATTTTTTAAGGTGTTATTGGGTTGTCAGTATACTGATTGCTCAATGCTTCTCATATTCAGAACTTTATGTTTCTTGACTGATTGATATATCTCAGTAATGCTAAAGAGAAAAATTGACATCACTTTAAATCACCTATGAACAAAAATAATTTTTCAGTTGGGGTAACCAGAACATGGATTATGGTACTGAAAGGGTTATGACGCAAAAAAAAATAAAGAACCGCAGTTATAACAATTGCTGTTCAAATAGTTTGATGTCATTATTTCAGAAAAACAACTTAGCCAGCTTTTTTTGATGACATACATAAATAGAAAGCTTGCAATTTTCAAATATGCTACAAAAGTCTATAACTTTGTTTCAAGTGTCGTTTTAATAAGCAAAATAAAATGTCATATATTAATTAATTATTTAACTTTTTAAGGGTATACTGGGAAGTGTAGACAGTGGAAAATCTGCTCTTGTTCATAGATACTTGACTGGATCGTATCTGTCTGATGAATCTCCAGAAGGTAACTTTTTATACGTGCTTTTATTATCTTACATGTGTGTGTACATATAAAAATAAATTATTTTTATTTATAACATTTGTTTATGAATTTTATAAGGTGGAAGATTCAAAAAAGAAGTTATAGTAGATGGTCAAAGTCACTTGCTATTACTAAGGGACGAAGGTGGCATGCCAGAGATGCAGGTAACAATGTTGTTATTTACTAATAGGCTGCTATAATTTAATCACAGTCATCAGTCCTATTATTGTTGACTGATTTTGAATTTTTATCGCTGACAATAGCTATTTTGCTTATAAATAGATAAATAGATGTTATTTAGTTTTTTTGTTTTGGTTGTCAATGATCTGTCGTTGCTATTTTTATCATTATTTGATTAATTTGTTTCTTAATTTCTTTTATCTTATTTCATAAAAATTTTCATCATGCGTGTCAGCAAAACTAACAAATGATCATTAAAAAAGTAAACAAAGGTCTTTTTTCATATTCATCATGTTTATCTTATTTTTTATTAGTATACAAAATTAGGTCTTAATTATTGCAGAACTAGTAGTTCAGTGCAATTTTTAACTTTTGTAGAACCTTTTTGTGGAATTATTTTAGTTGTCTTTTCTGTATACTGTTTTCTTCACATCAATTTAAAACAAAAAGTTTTTTAATGCTATATAAATGTATGTTTTAAAAATGTTTACTTTAAAGCCTTAATTTTGTTTTGTATAACATTTATAAAAAATTACTTAGAGTTTTTTTTTACTGATATACGAATAAGGTTTTGATTGGTCATTTATAGATTTTCTTAATGAACGGTTAGTTATTATAATGTACTAGATTCCAATAATTTATTTATTTGTTTGCTTTACTGGTCCTAGCTACTAAATTTTCTGTTTAATACAATTAGTAATTTTTTTGTTTTGAAAATTACAAACTGCAAGCTGATATGTTAAAACTCTTTTGATGATAGGAATTTTTTTTAAATTTTATTGACATACCAGTAATCAAGAAGTTAAAAGAAACTTTTTTTTTATTCCAAATTTTATTCGAACAAAAAAAATTCAGGAGATCAAGAAAAGGGAATTCCTTGTGGAGACCACCCTTAACTAACAACATCAGTGTTTGAAATAAACAATAAACTGTCATATATAGATATATACATACATCAATAATACCAACAAGTTACCACCTAATAACAGTAGTAATAATACATTAATATCAATATCAATAATACTCTTATATATACACACATGCATACACCTACAATAATAAATAATATGCATGCATGAACAAACAATATGTATATAATCGATTCACGTCACTGACGATGACTTCCGTGGAGGCCAGCAGAGATGTAACACCATCCCCTCATCATACTAAGGTCCGTATGCTGGTCCCTTTGAAGCATTAGATACTAATGCATTTCTTTTTTAGGCCTCTTTTCAAGGCATGGAGACTAGGACACATCAAGCTACTCATGCCCAAGGTGTTCCAGAGTTTCACTCCTCTTACTGCCCAGTTTCTGTAATTTAGGTCGGTACGACCATGTGCCAATTTCGGCATACCACATCGTCTAGTCTTACTAGAGACAGTTTAAAGCGCCATTAATTCCCCGTAATCATCATTATTTAAGACTTTGTAAATAAAACACAATGTTAAATATATGTTCAGTTGAGTGATAATGTTAAGTTTTATATATATTGGCTTGGTGTGGTCGAGACGCCTCAACGAGAAACTCACCCTCAAAAATTTCTTTTGGACCACTGTTAATTTATCAATTAAATAGTTATAGGTCGAAGCCCAGAAAACATTTCCATATATCAAGTACGAATAAAACAAGGAGTAACAAATCAACATCATCGAACGGTTGTTTATCTTTGTTCGAGATCTATAAACAATGCCAATGACCTGGTACAATTTTTTCAAAACCGAACATATCTGCTCGTACCATTTTAGATTGGATTGAATTATAATACCAAGGAACTTCACCGAGTGGTTCCTTGATAGGACCGAGTCTCCAATGTGAATGTTCAATTTGTTTGGACATTCATTTCTGGTAGCTACCTTAGAGCCAAAGACCAAGAGCATGACTTTTTTGAATTTAAGACCAAACGGTTTTCAGTAAACCAATTGAAATATTTGCTTAGTTGTTCATTCATATCGGAGAACAGTTGCGCCAGATCATCTCCAGACAGAAAAATACTTGTGTCATCTGCAAAAAGAATAGTGGTACAAGTGTTTGATATTGAAAATATATCATTAACAAAAAGGATAAACAAGAGAGGCCCCAAAATTGAACCCTGGGGGACTCCAGATACTATTTCTAAGGGAGATGATTCAACGCCATCAACACAGACATATTGCCTACGATTACTAAGATAGGATTTAAACCAATTTAGTGTTGACCCACAAAAACCGTATTTAGACAATTTGTAAATTAGAATCTCATGATTAATTGAGTCAAAGGCCTTGCTAAGGTCAATGAATGCACCAATGGTGAGCCTCCTAGATTCATAGTTACTTAAGAGTGATCTATATAACATTGCTATAGCTTTTTCTGTGGATGAATTTGGGATGAAACCAAATTGATTTTTATCAATCATGTTATTATCTAGTATAAATTTCCACATTCTGCTAAACATCAGCTTTTTGAATATCTTTGAAAAAACTGATAAGATGGATATAGGTCTATAATTTTCATACTTATTGTACTCACCGCTTTTATATATGGGCAGTACCTTAGCCAATTTCATTCTCTTTGGAAAGTGACCAATTCGTATGAATTTATTAAACAATGATGCAAGTGGATGTGCAATGGTATGAATGGTGTTCTTTAACAGCTTTGTTGATAAAAGATCACCATCATAACAATTTTTACTCCTTAATTTATTCGTTATTAAAATGACTTCATTAGGAGATGTATCCACAGCTAGGAAAGATGGATAATTGAGTTGGTTAAACAAACATTGATTTGGGAACGGATTGGGTGGACTGCCGGGAGTTAGTTTACTACCTTGCTCAATTAAAAATGTATTTAATTCATTGACTATTCTTATTTTGCTCATCATGGAGTCATCATCTTTAATGAGATGAGACTCGGATGGTTTGGGTCTAATCATACTATTTATTGCATTCCATTTTTCTTTATGAGTTCGACATTTATTAAATCTATTTTCATAGAAAAGTTTTTCCTTAGCTCTTTTCAATTTAATAAAATGATTATTATATTTATTATATATATTTTTATTACAAAGAGAAGGATTGCACAAATACGTTTTGTACAAGTTATTTTTGTGTAAACAGATATTATATAACTCAACATCCATCCACGGTTTTCTAAATCGATTTCTTTTGACAACTATTGGGCAGGAGCTATTGATGCATTTGGTATATAAGTTAAAAAAATTGTCATAATCCGAATCTAAATCAGAATCACTGGAAAAATCCGGCCAACATAATTCACTAAGGAGTTTGTTGGATGAATTTAAGTTTACAGCATTGATTGTTAGAGTTCTTATCGGTGGACGAGGATGGTTGGCAACAATGAGACCTTCCCATTCTATTAAAATAAAAATGGCAGATGATCCGACAAATCTTCACACAAGATATCCTTAGAAAGATAGTTAATGTCATTGGTAAAAATGTTGTCAATGATGGACGCACAGGTATTATGTACATGCGTCGGTCGGTAATTTATAGGACTCAAATCAAAACCCCTCATAAGATTCAGGAATGCTTGACATGCATAATTGTCAATGGCTATATTAATGTTATAATCAACAAGTACATATACATTGGAACCCTTCTCAATTCTGATACATACATTAAAAAAGACATCTAAGGATTCTAGAAAGTCATTTACTTTGACATTGGGAGGCTTATGTATACTAAAAAAATAATAATATAGTTCTAATGCCTGACCATTCAAAGCAGTCAGTATTAAAATTTTGGTTAGTATTTAAGTTGTGATATACAATATTATTACTAAATAAGATATCAGTCCCACCTTCTCTTTTGATGGTTCTGTTATTTATGACAATATCATATGATGGTAGCTTCGCATGGATATATTCACGAATGGTATTATCCTGCAACCAGGTTTCAGTCAAGGCAATAATACAATTCTTGATTTTGATTTTTATGTCATTGACAAGTCCAATTAATTCCGTCAAATGAGTACTTAAACTGCGACAATTTATATGCACAACGATCAACCGTTGGGCGTCTTGACCACAGTCACCCAAGTGTATTATTATTCATCTCAGACAGAGTAAAGTAATAAGAAATTGAGAAAAATTTGAAACAGCTAGGCAAATCAGCATATATGTTACTGAACATATCAATAAGTGAATTATAATTCATGTCATCATTAGATTTAATACCATCATTCACATTAATTCCATCATTCAAAACAGTATTGATATCATCATTCACAGTAAAGTTAATATTATCATTCACATTAGCATCCATGTCATCATTCATATTAGCAGTCATGTCATCAATTACATTTAAATCAATGTTATCATTTGTATCAACATTCATGTCATCATTCACCTTAATAACCTCATTCACAACACCATTAGTTTCACCATACACATTAGTAACATCATTAATGTCATCCTTCACATCAGCTTTCATGACAACACTCATATGAGCAACATCACAAGTAACAGAAGTAGAGTTCATGAATTCATTCACACCATCGTTAATATCATTATTCACCTCAGCTTTCATGTCACCACTCATATCAACAACATTACTAATAACAGCAGTAGGGATCATGACTTTATTTGCACTACAATTGATATCATCGTTGACATTAGTTTTCATGTCACCACTCATATCAACAACATCATTAATAACAATAGTAACAGTGATCATGGCTTTATTCACACCATAGTCAGCATAGGGCTGCTTGATGGCTCAATGGTTAAAGGTGCCTGGTCTTGCTATTGCAATGACTGGGTTCGAATTCAAAGAGATCTCCGCCTATCATATGCAATGTGTATGATGTGTACAAACACACACAGCGTATTCATATACTATCATAGCTATCATCATTCACATTTGCTTTTTTGTCATCATTCAGATTAACATAATTCATACAGTTCACAGCAGGCAACAGTCATATATTACCATTTTTACTTGTGTTATCAACTGTTGGTTTATTATGTTTGAAGATCCATTCACGGACCACCACATCTTTAGGCATTATATCAGGGTCTGTCATTTTAGTAGTATCAGTCGCCTCAACACAGACTCTGAAGTCGGTCGCATCCTCATCGTCTCTGTTAGTGAAATCTTTTTCTGGTTTATCTTTGCCACCTAGAATGGGATCCCATTTGATGAGAGGAAATCGGTGACATCCTTTCTGTTGCATGTTTGAAGGTTGCTCATATGAAACACCTTCTTTTTAATGAGGTTCTTATTGGCCTGCAGTTTGCAGCCTTCATTCAGTTTTTTACCAATGATTTTTATTGGCCTTTTGTTTTTGGATTTAACTTTTTTTACCGGTTCATCTAAAGTATGAGGCTTTGTCCTAGGTGAAGCAGGTTTTGAATAGCTCAGTGTGGTATTTACTGTGGTGAGAAATTTATCCTTTTCTGAGTGTTTAGAGGATTCAAAGTTGACTTTGCTGCAAGAAAGGCTTGTGGTTTGTAGAGTTTTATCCATTCCTGCCTGGTTAGAGGATACAATGTTCAATTTGCTAGGCGGATGGTTTTTTTTCTCATTGTGACGTTTATGAAAGGTCTATCATCTGTAGGAGAGTCAGGGTATTCTGACCAGGAATGTATTCCTGACACTGATACAGCATTGCTATTGTTCTCTTTGCTTTTAGTAGTTAATGCTGTTGTTTTGATAACAGAGGAAATCTGGTTAAGATCTTCAGAAAATCTTTTAATACCTGATGCTGGTGTCCGGAAAATTCATCGTGGAAAATTCATCGTGGCAAATTCATCGTGGGAAAATTCATCGTGAGGGAAAATTCAACGTGGGAAAATTCATCGTGGGAAAATTCATTGTGGGGGAAAATTCGAGGGGGAAAATTCATAGTGGGGTAAAATTTATTGTGAAAAACAGTTTTTGCAATTACACACCTTACACACCCCATGAATGTTGTAGATTATAAATACGTAGTTTGAGGACTTTTCTATCCTTAACCTTTTCTGTAATGAAATTTAAAACAACTCAACTCAAAAATGTGTTTATTTTGCAACCATGTCAATGAAATCATGTCAATGAAAATGTCAATGAAATTCAACCATGTCAATGAAAATTTGCAAGTATGTCAAGAGAGATGCGCCTAGAAGTTAAAATTATGGGCCAATCCACGAAGATAATCCATTCTATCACGGTTATCGTAATCTTGTACTATACGTTGAATTATTTAGGTGTCTCGATAAACCTTTTTGCTTGGAGGCGGATTGGCACCAGCAACATACTGTTCTATTTTTCCTTCATTTAAAGCTTGTTCGTCTTTCAAGGATGAAATGAATTTCCATACTGTTGGATGGCTAGCTCCAATTAGCTCACTAAAGGCTCTGTGCCACCCTTCGCAGGAATTGTTGGTTTTTGGCAAGCCATTGAGAGCAGCATTGTAGCAGTTCCACAGGTCGTATGCAAAACGTGGAGGTCTGCGTTGTTGACGCCGATTAGGTCTTCCAATCCAAGTGTCTTCAAAATAGTCTAAAACAGGTTGAGCTTCCACTGGTTAAGACCATCATTGCTATCAAACATAAGAAATTGATCATCATGGTGTGTAATTTGATAGTCATTAGGGATGACTAGGTCCACCAAAGAATTTGGATTCGGTGGTGCACGATCAGCAAGACGCCTGGTATTTCGAATAGTCTTTTTAAGTGTAGAAATATTTGGCATTAGGCCAGAAGCCGCCTGAGAAAGGCCAATAAAAGAATTGGTGATAATTCGTTGAGGAACATCCTGCGTTTCCCTAGCATCATTTTTCATTTGATTCACAACCTTAACAACTTCGACCCGAGCAGCATTTCCTGCGTGGTTATGTTCACCGACTCTCTTTACAATTTTGTCATGACGAGTATGCAAACGTGCCCGACATACAAGATTTTGATATTGATCACATTTCCAGAAAGTTTTTTCTTCTGTAGCCGCATCTTTTACGAACAAGTGACCTGAGTCAATTAATTTTCTTTTTCCTTTTTCACTGTACACGAATTCTAGTGACATTTTTACACAAAGATTAGCGAATCGTGATGCAAAAACTACTTCTTCATTTCTGACACACTTCACATACAGTATTTTATTATAGACTTTTACTTAACTTACTCAGACACGTCCGACGTCCGCGGTCCACCTTTGTATATATTTTCTATACCATACTAAGGGTATACAAATGATAGTATTAATAAGCATGGATGCTATACGTTGCCTATTGATATAACCTCCAATACAGTATACTTTGTATATTATACGTATATATTATATACGTTATATGTTATATACGATATATACGATGAATTTCACTCCATGGTGAATTTTACCCCACCACGATGAATTTTTCCACGATGAATTTTACCCCACGATGAATTTTCCCGCGATGAATTTTCCACGATAAATTTTCCCACGATGAATTTTCCACGATGAATTTTCCGTAGACCCCTGATGCTAACATATCAACTACAGTATTTGTCCATTTGTTTGTACTTAGAGAATCATCATTTGAAGTGCAACTGGCCCGTCAACCATCCTAGTTGAGTCAATGCTTGTCCAGCTGTTTGGAGCAATTCACCAACTCTTTCCGTTGAAGACATTTTAGAATTACTCCAACTTCATAAATTTTCCAAGTAAATACGGCAAAAGTCAATGTAATTTCTTTACCGAATATTTTTATATTTTATTTTACGAAAATCCGGAAAACAAGTCACTAGTAATATTTAAAATGACAAAAGCGATGTTTACACCGCCATTACAAACCAAAGAATGTACAAACTTGTGCTGATTACTTTAGTAAAAAACAGTATGATTGTAATATCAACAGTAAACTTATAAATACATAATTTACAACAAAATACTAATTTAATCAAATTTCACCAATAAAACAGAATTGAATCGAAACAATGAAAAATAATTAAAATATGAAAATAAAATAAATTTAAAAGAAAATATAATAAAAGAAAAACGACATAATGACTGAAAAACAAAAAAAAAGACACAAAAAAACATGCAAATTAAATTAAATTCATAACGCTCTAGATGTGCTGAGCAAACTATTTTTCGCAAATTTTTTAAAAAGATTTAATAGATCTAACTTTTATTAAAATTAATCTGCCATTCTGTCTGGTCGATGAATTGATGTATGTGAAAGAGTTTAAAAATTTGTAGTTGTGACAATCGATAACTTTATGCATAAAAACAAAGTCTAGTTAGTGGTAAGTATTTTGTATTTAGAAAATAATTGATTTGTGTGATACTTATTCAAATAAAAACAAACGCGTACAACAAATAATTTATTTGTTAGATTATTGAAAATTTAATTCTCAAAAGACTTGACCATATAGGATAAAAAATGCATGATAGAGCATTAACATGGTATTTGATGTTAATTTTTTTGTAGTTTGTTTATAATCCGATAACTTTATATAATTGGAAAGATCTCCAATTTATGCCCACTAGCACTTTATAATCATGATATGGCAGTGTTGTGCTAATTACTTTAAAAATGTAGTTGAAAAAAGTAGTTAACTACTTTTTTACTACTTTGAACAGCAGTAGCTAGTAACTACTCTTTAACTACCTTCGAATAATTAACTAGTAGTTAACTACTTTTCAATACTTCAATTTAAAAAAAACTTGTGTTTACAAGCTTTCGAAACCATGAATTTGTTAATAATTCAGTAATTGTAAAATAATTTAAAGACAAACAGTTTTATTTGACAAATTTTATTATAATTAAATTTACAATTATTTTTCGAGAAAATCTCTTTAAAAAACATTTTATCTCTGTCATAATGCATTAGTCCTGCACATTCTTGACAATAAGGTGCTCAAATCTCAAAGTGGATTTGATGAGGTCAAACATGAATATTAGGAAACAATTTCTATCCAATAAAATTGTTAAAATTTAGAATGAATTTCCAACCGATTGTATGATTCATTTAAAAATTAAATTTGATGTTTGTAGAAAATATTTTTATCATAGAATTGCTGCTGTTTTGTAATTTTGTAACCCTTATTTAATTTTATGATAACTATTTTTAATTTGTTTAAACATTATCTATTTATATTGTATGAAATTTTGGCATATTGACTTTTGAGTTTGAGATCATTATTTTCATTACCTGAAAATAATTTTATGTTGTGCCATTTTAGACTCCGACGATGACATATGCCGAAACGACCCTCGGCCAGATTAAACGTTTAAATAAATTGGAATGTCATAAATTTTTTTTATTATACAGTTCAGTCACTGGGTGGATGCTGTCATCTTTGTTTTCAGTTTGGAAAATGAGACCAGTTTTAGTAGTGTGTATGCTCATTTTGCTCGCATGGCCCATTACAGAGACCTTTCAGATCTGCCAATGGTTCTTGTAGGAACGCAAGATACAATAAGTGAAAGCAGCCCCAGAGTTATAGATGATGCCAGAGCTCGAAAGTTGGCCATGGATCTCAAGAACTGCACTTATCATGAAACATGTGCCACTTATGGTTTAAATGTTGAAAGGGTTTTCCAAGATAGTTTGTATCTTTTTTCCTTTAATGAAAATTGTTAAAATCTATAATTATTATTATACACTTTTATTGACTAATCAGTTTTATTTATATATATATATATATATATATATATATATATATATACTTACAATATTCTATAAATTCTACCGAGTGTTTGGCGTTAATATGTTTGTAGTTCGTTTTTTCGATTTTTTTCACTAAAGTTTTGATGATACTGATGACAAACTTCACTTATAGGCGAATACTCTCCTGGCAACTTATATGGAAATATTAAAACGCATAAGAATAATCATCCCATCCGACCAATTATTAGCCAAATTACAACAGTCACATACCCTGTTGCAAAATTCTTGAACAAAATTTTAACCCCATATATTCCAAACAATTACACACTACAATCTTCCCGTGAGTTATTAATCTCCGTGAGTTTATTAATCTCCTCAGCATTAATAAACTATGCAAATTTATTGCCTCTCTGGATCTTGAATCACTATTCACAAATGTACCAATTCATGATACTATTGACATAATTATCAACACCGTTTACCACTCAGATATGGTTCCATTGAGCATACCGAAAGCACAACTGAAGTCCCTTCTTCAAATTTGCACTACCGAAGCACCATTTCACAGTCCCACAGGCAAACTTTACAAGCAAATCGACGGTGTCGCTATGGGACCCCCCCCTTGGCGTCCTATTTGCCAGTTTTTACTTAGGACATCTGGAGAATGAGACCTTCAAAAACAATGCAAATTTAAAACCAAATATCTACACTAGATATGTTGATGATATCTTTGTCTCCTATAACGATCCTGAAAAATCTCCCAACTTCTTGGTACCTTAAACAAATCAAAATTAAGATTTACCATTGAAATTGAAAAGGAACAACGTTTACCTTTTCTCGATGTGTTGGTCACCCGTGGCGAAGAACGATTCAAAACTGCGGTCTATGTCAAAGAAACAAATACAGGAATTTGTTTGAATGGACAAAGTGAATGTACCGAACATTTTAAAGACAGCACAATGAAATCATTTGTAAACCGGGCATTCACACACTCTTCCGATATTGAAAATCGCGACGCTGAATTAAAGAGTCACTAACCTGCTTGTAAACAATGGATATAAAACTTATTCTATTGAAAAGATTGTTAAAGACAAATTACTACACAACAATAACCTTCCTAGTACCAACAATCAAGATAACGACATCATCTTGTATCACAGAAATTACATGTCAACAATCAAGATAACGACATCATCTTGTATCACAGAAATTACATGTCAACTGCATATAAAGTAGATGAAGCTATTCTTAAAAATATCATCAATAAAAATGTCAAACCAACCAACCCAAATAGTAAAGTTAAACTCCGAATTTATTACAACAATAAAAGACGTCCCACCTAATACTGAAAAACAACTGTAATCCTAGAGATAACTAAATGTTCACCAAAAAACTTTAGTGAGAAAAATCGAAAAAGCGAACTACAAACATATTAACGCCAAACATTCGGTAGAATTTATAGAAAATTGTAAAAATTATGGTCTATTACCAACATATATATATATATATATATATTAGACTGTTTAAAAAAAAACTAAAAAAAAACAATGCATAGGGGTTATATGGTGTGGTTTTATATTTGTATCATCCTGTAAAAATTTCAATTAAAAAGGATAAGTATTAGTGACCTCTCAAATCAAAGTTAACTAATGTCGAACATGCTGTGATTTTCATAAATAATGGATATTTCTACAGTCTTAATCCTATATATATATATATATATATATATATATATATATATATATATATATATATATATATATATATGTATATGTATATATTTGTGTGTGTTCAGACTGTAGTATGTACAGTTATTAAAAAATATCACCGCATTTTCATCATTGTTGAGTTTGTAACTACATTTTTCAATTTTCCAGACAATTATTTTATATGTAGTTCATCAGGTGTTTATAGTATTTCACTCTGATGATGGTATTATAGTATTTTACTCTGATATAGATTTACACTGATGATGGTAAAGGTTACCGAAAAAAGCTTTTATGTAAATGTATATATGAAATACTATGTAGGTCCAGCAATTTCAAAATCTTTTCCAGCCGCTTTAAAATCAATTTTCATAATGTGTATTGGGTTGTTCGGAAAGTAATTTTGTTTTTTGCGGTGAAAATGAAAGACTATCTTTGTATAATGAATAATGGAGAATATGGTGGGTGTGGCATATCCATCCCATCTATGCTGTAAAAGCTTTTGGCGAGTGATCAAACTTGTATGAGGTCTCGCATTATCTTGGTGGGACACTACACCTTCTCTGTTGATTAATTCTGGACTTTTCTGTTGAAGTGCATCATTCAGTTTGTCCAGCTGATGACAGTAGACTTTTGAATTAATTTTTGTGTTATCCGGTAAAAGCTCAAAAAAGTGACTCCTTTAAAATTTCACCAAACAGACAGCATCACCTTTTTTGATGGATATTGGCTCCGGAAATGCTTTAAACCGACTCATCTTTTCTGCTCCATGATCTCTAGCGTTTAACCATTTTTCGTTTCCAGCAATGACGCGTTTCAAAAATGGATCATTTTTGTGACGTTTGAGGAGTGAAGCACAGACGTCAACGCATCGACCAAAATTTTTCTCCGTATATCGAACTTCAAGGCTAAACCCAGGTCTTTTATTTGGTCATTAACTGTTAAATTCAATAAATTTAACCTCTCATCGATCTTACCTGTTGTTATTCGCTGGTGTGCATGTCTTTATCGCGTCTTTATCGGTTTCAACCGGCCTTCCAAAACGTGCAGTTTTGCAAACCAGTTCTGGCACTGGCGTATTGTCAACACATCTTCTCTGTACACATCAGTCAATTTCTTTCTGGCTTGAACAACATTTTTACCTTTTCTTTGTAAAAAAAATAAGTTAAATATGGCGAAATTGCTGGTTATTGCTTTCCATATTTCAAAGGGCACCGACCAAAAACTACTGCGTAAAATCAATTGAACTTATTCACACACAAGCCTTTCTATATATATATATATATATATATATATATATTATATATATATATATATATATATGTATATATATATTTCGGAACGAGGTTTTTTTTAATACAAACATCATTGAAGATATATGCCCATTTTGCATTAATGATATATATATATATATCATTAATGCAGATATATATATATATATATATATATCTGCTGATATGAAAAAATTCAACACCAAGCGTTCAAGCAAAGAAAGTGAAGAGAGCGCGTTTGTAGTCAATTCATGAGAGGCGCTGTACAAGTTTTGCGATGCGATACCATATCATTGGTAAACCACTATCCGCTATAGGCCAGGTTTTAAATAACTCAATTATTGTAACCAAGAAACACAAATTGAGGTGTCATGACCATTAGGTAAAAACAAATCTCGCTTACAAGATTGAAGAGCCCATTCAGTCGCATAGTTTATAATATATAAATATATATTATATGTATATGAATGTTGGTTTGTTTCAACTTTATAGACTGGAAAACTTCTGAACTTTTGTTTATAAACGTATGGCAGAGTATGTGAGCATAGTTTCAACCAGCTTCGCCCTCCGACAAGGTCGATTTGGATGATGGAGAGGGATTTTTTATGAATTTTAAGGCTAAAAATCTGATTAGCTTGAAATTTTGTAAAAAATTTTAGGTACAGCAAAAACATGTTTAAAATTTCAATTAGCTCAGCTTTCAAAACAAGATAGGTTTTTATTGATGGGTGACTTATTATGGAAAATTAAAGTTGGAAAGCTAATGATCTAATTATTTAAAATTTTGTCTTGATCGTAGTGGTAGTGAGCAAGGAGATGCCATTTATTCCAGGCTGCACGTATGCGTGTTCGAACGGCAGCTTCAGCTGTTCCAGTACAATCCAGAACATCCCCTAGATATTGAAACGATGTAACTTTCTCTACCTTAATGGCTTCAAAAACAGTGCTATTTCGAGTTTGTTGTTGTGGATTGATGCAAGCAGGACAAACAAAATTGGACACTTTAGATAAAGTACCAATTATTTTTGAACATCGTTTGTGACACCACTGGTTACACTGCTGACACTTGATTGAATTGCTGACACTTGCTGTGGATTGGATGGGTTCACCAGTGTTCATTGCTTTGGTTTTGCTGATGTTGACTTTGAATTCATGATCGACGAGTCTGGTGTTCCAATCTTCAAACATCTGTGCTGCATTCTGCTCAGACGTGGCTGTTAAAACGATATCATCGGCATATATTAGATTCCAAATGTCACCAGTGCGTATCGGCTTTGTGATTTTTTCCATCACAGTTATAAATAACAGTGGACTGAGAATCGAGCCTTGGTGAACTCCAACGCCGATGTCAAATGCACTTGTGTTTCCAACCGTTGTGCTGACAAGAGTCTTAGTATTCGTATACATTTCCATCACAAGTCGAACAAGATATTCTGGAATGAGTTGTCGACGTAGACTCCACCTGATTGCTTCACGGGGAACTCGATCAAATGCTTTTTCAAGGTCTACAAAAATGTTTGATAGTTGTTGATGCTTTGCGAGGTACTTCTCTTGCAGTTGCCGAAGGATGTGAATTGCATCAATTGTTGATTTCCCCGCTAGAAAACCAAATTGATAATTTCCGATTGTAATTCCGACCGCCAATAAAAATAATAACACAAAAAATTTAGTGTGATTCATTTCAGAACCAGTTGATTTGTATTTTAAATTCGATTGATAACAGACATTAAATGTAGCATTTATGTACAAAGTAAACAGTATCCCATATAATTATTTAGTATATATGACCATACTGTGAATAAGTTTCTAAAATGAGGGAGTTATATATGATGATGATGACATGCTTAAGGCAATAATTACAATATTATTTTAACCAGTATGCCAAAGGATAATGCATTCAAGACATGCAGCTACTAGACTGCCGCCTTTGCTTCATACTTCCAGCTTGTCTTCTCGTGTCTACCAGAATGTTCCACCTCCTTTGTCCATGCGTTACAACGTTGTTAACAGCAATGAATCATTACATCTTCAACAGCTCCAGCAACAACAATTTCATTCCAGTCAATTCATGCAACAACAGCAACAAGGGCCTGCTACCACCCCTACCAATAGTAGTACCAGTAGTAGTCCTTTTAACAATCAGGTACAATGTTTTATAATGTGTACAATCTTAAAAGTATTAATACATGTATTAAATGTTTTAAAAATTCATCGTGTTTATTGCATTATTTAATTTACAATTTTGTTTTTTCAAATTCTTTACAATTATCATACTATTTGAATTTTGAAAAACAACACTTTGAATTAAATAACGGAAAATTTATTAAAACCTTATATAATATATATAGATATATTGCTGGAAGGAGATTATAATTGATGCAATATTTGGTAAAATCTACCGAATTTTTAGCTTTTGAAAGTTTACGATTGAGCTTTCAATATTTCTAACAGTAATTTTATAATTATTGGATTGGATAAAATTTGATAATAATTATAAAACTACTGTTAGAAATACTGAAAAGCCCATTCTTAAACTTTCAAAAGCTAAAAATTCGGTAGATTTTATCAAATTCGTAGTTTAATGCTATTTAATGAATATAATACTTCAACCAAAGAACCAACCATATCTTGTGGTGAAAAACAACTGCAATAGTAAACCAGAATCGATAATGGATCATTGTCATCTAATATATTTGTTCAAATGTAATACTGGTGAGCGTGGGCACCATAATTCCGAATATATTGGTATGACGACGGGCGATGACCAAGTTATTGCGAAGACTCATCATGGCGCTATAAAGAATCACATGAAAGAGAAACACAAAATTAAAATTACTAGACAAATCTCGGACCACAATGTTAAAATCTTACATTACAATAACATCCATTATAATTTACGACTAGCCGAATCAATACTCATAGAACAAAGACATCCGATAATAAATATTTAACAACAAACAATTGTAATTCTTCCCACTAATAAATTTGGAAGCAGAAGGAACAGTATATGGTCTCCTATCCCACCATAATAACCACCCATGTTCTTAACGATGGTGACATGTTGCGATCGGACTGCTTTTTTGGTCTTTATATAAATTCAAGCACAATCCACTTTTCTGATCTTTTTGTCAATACCCCGTACTGTGAGTACGCCCACTCTCCACAGCAGTTAGTATGTCATCATTCCTTGTACTTTGATCATCTGCTCCAACGTTTAGGTTCTCGTTTGCTATCATATCACATTTTCATACTTCTCTTACGGGCTCTTCTGCTAGTGGGTTCATATCGCTACTCTGGTTTATTGTCCCCATGTATTTGTTTTCCACAGACTCTCTTTCCCTTACTTCTGTATACTTCTGCATTCTTTTCTGTCTTTGCTTCGATGATTCCTTATTACAAAATCTTGCTATGTGGCCACTGTTCTCACAGTTATTACACCTCGATGGCTTTGGGATGTATTTATTATTTATATGGGGCATTGCTATTTACTGATTTATGGACCAAGATAGCAATTTTAAACTTTATAATTTGCCTAGAAAATGAACATATTTTTAGTTAGGCAGTCGACTAAAGCAATGACTTTTTATACTTATAATTATTACAACATTTAGTTTTAACACTAACACATAACATGTCAATAATATCATCATCATACACTATCATCACACACATTGAAATCCAATTCATTCCTGATGAACATGCCAGCTCCACCCCTAGTGGCAGTAGTTCTATTTTTAAACACAAAATTAAAATTTTATAATTTAACTAATTTAGCTGACGCCTCTTTCAACAATGATTCACTTAATTATTAAATTTAATATTTTGTTAATCAATCATCTTATTAATAAACTACGATATAAGTTTGATGAAGAAAAATCGTTTTGCAAAAATGAGGTTGAATTAGCAAAATTGCACTCAGAATAATGAGTACGATTTATCCAAAGGTTGACCGTTGCAATTAGTTGGTGTTGTCATGATTCATGTTGCTGCTTTTTAACGTATTCTTGACTTCTGTAGTTTTTACATTTTTGTTCTGAGAAAAATTCAACTCTCGTAGAAATGTGTATTTTGGCAATATGTCAGGATTTGTAAGTTTAGATTGACTGGTAAAATGATTTTAAATGCTGCTTACTTGGTTGCCAAATTTTGATCGATGACCACATTGTCAGAGTTTATTTTGCGCAACACCGAAAAGCAATTAGCAAAAGTTGTCATTTAATTGGAAGATTTTTTTATATTTTCTGGTTTGTTTGAAAATGGATTGGCATTATGTGACTGAGTAACATCTAATCTTCCTTTTTTGTTATTTGCCAATTGGAAATTATCGTTGGAATCGGGTTCATCATGAGATTCATTAACTATTGCTGAGCTATTAAATCAGATTTATCTGCCCATGATTGAGCAACTGAAGTCATGATTACGATCTCTGTTGCTAAACTAGACATGTTGTTTACCTTATATACAGATACGTTCATTGCTGGCATGTTAGTTGTTGATACGTTTATCCTTGTGTAAAAATAGAAAAATTAGTTCAGACAATCGTGCAGCAGTTTTGACTTTAACCTATCCTAATAAATTAACAAATTTGCAAATTAAAAATGAGATTTCATTTTCAAGACCACATTATGAGGAATAAATAAATACAGCCATAGTAAATATTTAAATACATATTTGTTTGACTTTTCTACAAAAAATGTACATTATATGCTCAGAATGTGTTGGGAGGTCTTACAGATTATAATATAAGGCACTTCATAAAGATTTGATTACATAGTTTTTACTATTGTTAGATTCTACCAGAAAATTGGTCACATCAAGTTATCAATTTTAGTTAATCACCAAACTTACAGAGATTTCAGTCTAGTACTAAATATCAGCAGCATACTGATTTGATGCTAAGAGATTCAAAAGATTTTAATGACAAAAATATGCTGAGACGTCAACAACCACCACCGCCTCCTCAGGTTTTTGGACATTTTGTAACCTATTTTGATAATTTTTCCCTTTAATTTATTTTTTATGAGATGTTGTATCTCTTCATGTATTCATATATAATCGTTAATGATTAAATGGTTTTGAATATTTTTAAGCCCAATATGCTGATGAAATCATCGTCTCAACAGGATCCTCCGCTTAGTCAGCCATCTTCATCATCATTGTCGTCGTCTGGTCATTTATGCAACAGTTCGGAGGTGTAATGTGCTGTAATTTCTTTTTTGTTAACACAAATTACCACCAACTTTTGTCACTTTTTAGTGTTGGGTGATTTTCAATAGGCAGTTGATTTCTAGTATGTAAATTGGCATTTGAATGTCTGTCATCTGATTAAATTATTTTCGTTTGTTAAATTTATTAATTTTTATGCATTCTTTTTTAATTACGGAATTATTGTCAAGTTTTACAAGTCTTATTTTAACTTAAAAATATTTATAGAAGAAGGATTTAAAATCCAGCAGTAAATTGGGTCCTATACCAGCGGCACCTGTGAAACAGGTTAATGTTTATTACGTCAATGTAATGTTCTAAATCTGTTGCATGTTCAGCTCAGTTTTTAAACAATCTAGATATATTAATAAAACGTGGGTAATTAACCATTGTAATTAAATCATCTTATTTTGTTGAGTTAGTAATATTTCTTTTTTTTGCATTTTATTAATTTTCATTTACTTAATTTATTAAAAATATACGTTTGAATCATTTTTTATCATATGTTATTCTTATTTGTGTTTTCAACGTTTATAATATAGTTGGATGATAATATAATGTTCAACTTGGATGGGTTAATATATTTAACTTTAATGTAAAATCAACTGTTTATGTAAGACTAACCACCTTTTATGTTAACCGTTTAGGCTTTTAGGTGCTATGCACATTCAGCAATTCATTAAATATATAATTTCTTTAAATATATTTGTGATAGGGTTTTTTGTACAAACGAAGCACTAAACCACTTCGAAGTGAGTGGAAAAAAAAATATGTCACATTGTTTGATGATGGTCGACTGGTTTTCCATTCTTCTATCCAGGTTTTTTTTTTGGCTGCTATTCATTGTTAATCTATTTTGTAAAAACTTTTGATATAATATTAGTCATTATTTTGTTTTACTAGCATTTTTTCATAATCAAGCAAATAAAATTGGCCTGAACAGGACTTTACAGATAATGTACATGGCAAGGAAATTGAATTAATGAAGACAGCAGTAAAGGTACCAGGAAGATGTCCAAGAGGTTCTGAACTTTCAAGACCTCAAATATCTACTAATGCCAACATGGGTACCACAATTTTGTCAAAAGATGTTCTGACCAACGAAGTGTCAGGTCAATTTTTTGCTCATGTCAATATATATATATTGTTTATTTTTTATTTATTTGAATTCTCTCTTTAGTAATTTCTCAGAAATATCGACAATAAACACACTCATCACAAACATTGCATTGGATAGGTTGGAAGCTTTTTGCATTCGAGCCCAGATTTAGAACATTACATTGATGGAAATGTATACGAATACTAAGACTCTTGTCAGCACAACGGTTGGAAACACAGATGCATTTGACATCGGCGTTGGAGTTCACCAAGGCTCGATTCTCAGTCCACTTTATTTATAACTGTGATGGAAGAAATCACAAAACCGATACGCTCTGGTGACATTTGGAATCTAGTATATGCTGATGATATCGTTTTAACAGCCACGTCTGAGCAGAATGCAGCACAGATGTTTGAAGATTGGAACACCAGACTCTCCGATCATGGATTCAAAGTCAACATCAGCAAAACCAAAGCAATGAACATTGGTGAACCCATCCAATCCACAGCTACTGGACGATGGCCCTGTTCAGTTTGTAAATCTGGTGTAGGTAACAATTCAATCAAGTGTCAGCAGTGTAGCCAGTGGTGTCACAAACGTTGTTCAAAAATATTTGGTACTTTATCTAAAGTGTCCAATTTTGTTTGTCCTGCTTGCATCAATCCACAACAACAAATTCAAAATAGCACTGTTTTTGAATCCATTAAAATAGAAAAAGTCACATCGTTTCAATATCTAGGGAATGTTCTGGATTGTACTGGAACAGCTGAAGCTGCCGTTCGAGCACGCATACGTGCAGCCTGGAATAAATGGCATCTCCTTGCCTCTATATTGATGCGGCGTGACATCCCACTACCACTACCATCAAGACTTTATAAATCTGTGATACGTCTGGTGTTGTTATATGGTGCAGAAACATGGCCAATGACAACCAAACTGGAACAACAACTTCAACGAACCGACATGAAAATGCTCCGATGGATGCAACGAATTAGTCTGAAGGACCACATCAAATCTACCG